GTCTGGGTTTTCGAAATATGTTAGCTAACAGAAAGAGAGAGAATAGAAACGTGCGATATAGGTCGTCGAAAGGAGTCCCGAGTTGATCAGACTCGGAGGAGGCCCAGTCGACGAGGAAGAGAGAGAGATAGAGACGAGAGTGAGAGATGGTTGTTGTCGAGAGACTAGCTGTCAAAAATATGACGCGCTCGCTGGCCCGAAGGGGTAGGTGGCGCGTCACGAGAGGGAGAGAGGTTCGCTCGAGGGATAGACAGGGTATGAGTATCTCGATTGAACGCTCCAGTTTGTACATACAGATCTGGGTTTATATACGGTTCATGGGCGCTATAACAGCTCTAAGGTTCGGGAAGACTCGGGCTAGATACGAGTGAGATAAGAGAAGCTGAGAGATCGAGGAGAGACAATCCCGAAGCACGGAGTCGATCAGGTACGAAGGGAGAGAAGAGAAGTAGCGCGTGACGCGGGCGCTACACTCCGTGTTGCGACTCGGGCGTCTCATAAGCCAAATCGGGATGTTCACGGGGCGTACCTCTCGTGCGTCGCCTCGCATGGATAGGTGCTACGGGCATTTGGAAGAATGGAGCTTGTCCACATTTATCAGTTTTTTTTTCACTCACATGAGCAGTTGCAGTACGGTGACAATGATGCTCCAGGGAATATCTCGACAATCGTACCTCACGAGCTTGAATGGGATGTAAGAAGCTTAGTCCCTCGCATAACACAAGCACCACTGACACGGGTTCCATGTGCGAGTCATGCGCGTCGATGTGCACCTGCTATCCATTGCCCACGTACTTACCAGTCGCGCTTGCCGTGCCCTTCGTCCAATAAATAACCCGGAGTGTCTTTGATTCTTGCGTCACTTGCAGCGGCAAGTGGGGTTTACCCTTATAGCCTTGTCACGGTCGCTTTCTGTTGCTGAGTCGTCCTAGGAAGCAAAGGGCTAGCGACCTGAGAATTGAGTACGCCCTATAGCGGGTTTCGACTCGCAGGCTGTGCCGAGACCATAAGGCGAAACATCACGAAAGGGATTGCCATAAGTTCATGTAGGCGTCAAATGGGACTCTTCCGAGCTATGTTACTCTTCCATAAATCAGAATCTTATATGCGTAGGAGCACATAGGTAGCAGGGCGGTGGTTCTGAGTCGTCCGCCCGAACACCGCTAGGTCTAGCAACACTGGTACGACTCCTGTCCGTATTCGAGTAGATGAGACCCGTGCACAACACAAGGGACAGTAGCAAGCAAATCTCACGATCCCAGCGAGATCACATCAGGTAGCCGACAGAAGAACGAGATTGCTTGCGTAGAGAAAGATTACGCTACATCTCTACCAGCGGCTCGGAGGTGGTAACGGTGGTATCAATGGCTTCAGATATTTCTGTACGAGATGTGTGTATTTGAGTAGAGGCGACGGAGAACGACCTGCCACGTCTTCGTGGCGTCCGTTGGTCTGTAGGAAGAAAAGCACATCTGCAGAGACGTCAAGGCTAGGTATTTCGAGGAAGGGAGACCGGCGCCAAACGTCCAGTCGAGCGATGGGCGCTCTCGCCCGACGCAGTTTGATCCTGTCCCGCCGTCTCCTCCCGCTCGCTGTCCTTTTGCAGCTTCCTTCGCGAGCTTCGCCTGTCGAAGAGACTGGACTGGAGACGTGTATCCATGTAGGAGATGACAAAGTAGACAACCAGTCTATCTCGCCGATGGGTGAAGATACCCCACTCTTGAGAAGAAACTCTGTACGTGTCGCGCAGCGAAGAGCCAAAGGCTGCAACTTAACAGGCCATTCCATAGAGCGGTTGTCATACTAGGAGATCGTCCTGAGAGGAGAGGGTGTATGTCGGTCAGGTTTAGACGCTGAAAATTCTGGCCACCGCGCTGTGCCACGCCTGCGCCCGCTAATGATTGTCCTCAATTTCACAAGCCGTTTGAACATCTCGCCCTGAGAATCCTCGACGGCTCTTGTGGATCATTGCGCAGAAAATCTGTGCTCGCAGCTGTATGCATGTGCACTCCATCAAGCAGAGCATTCCCTGCACCCGCAGTATGCTTGCGACTACATCTCCTTACAAGACTGTGCAGGGCCGCAGGCGCACGGCGTGCAGCGTGCTAGAGTGAAGAGTATAAGGAGCAAAGAGCCGCTACCTACGTGGTGCTCTCCAGAACATCCTCTAAGATTGCTATGTTGACACTCAACCCCCCGTCGCTTACGGCCTTTCTCTCTTCTGTGCTGCATAGTGCCATTTTGACGGCCGGAAGTTCGGCGGTCGGTGACCACACTGTAGGTACTCGGCTGCAATTTTGAAGCAAGCATGCTCATCGACTTCCAGGACACCACGAACGCCTCCACTGTCCTTCTGGCGCTGGACTGTCGCGGTCCACAAGCTGGCCACTGACTCGCTGGATGTGTTAGGGCTGGCCCGCGCAACTCACGAGCTCTGACGATGCTTACAAAGGCTTCTTCACCGGCTGCGCCCTCGCCGGCGACGGACCGCTCGACGTCAACGCGCATGTCCAGGACTTGTTGAACGCGGCGCACAGCGCGGAGACGGCTAACGCCTCCGTCCCGATTACCTCAGGAATTGTGCGGAGTAAGTCTGTGGTATTGTGACATCCCAAACGATCGCAGATAGGCTGAAAGGCACCTTCGCCAGCGCAAATCCTCTGGGATGGAATCTACGTCCCCTCCGAGTGGATCAACGTCACGAACCAGCTCCTCCCGCAGGCCGCGCAGGAGGTCCAGAGCGAAACGCTCGCCCGTCATGGGTACGTGTATATACATATGGTCGCAGGACCTCCAGCTCCCATGCACCTGATGCGCTCTCCCTATGCAGGCAGGTCAAGCGTGCCGGCATGCAGAGCTCAAACTCGACCGCTCCGACCTACACGACCATCGCCATCTTGTGCGGAGACGCCCCGAATCGGACGCACGCCAACGGAGCGACGATAAAAGATGTCTTCGAGACCGTCATCAGCACTACACACAATGTCTCGCGCATGTGTGCGTGCCTGCAGCGTCTTCGGTGTTGCGGAGGACTGACGCAATCGTTTCTTTCTTCTGTAGTCGGTGACGTGTGGCCGAATCCTATATACACCTGTGCGTTCTGTCCTGAACGCGCTGTGGAGCGGTATACGGTCCGTTCAACAGGACACTTGCAAACAAGATTCTGGTGGTTAAATACGGTGCGCCCGCTACTCTTACCGTTTGGTGCTTCTCTGTCGGTGCTGAACGGTCGATCAGTACGTTCCGGTCACGCCGTTCATTGGCCTGGGGTGACCACGAGGCAGATTATCGCTCACATGCCAAGCACGAGTTTCTAGGATAGGCTTACGAGGGTATGGCACGCTAAGTCTCCGGGGCTGCTGAAGCGGTGTGCCCTCTGAATGTATCTCAAGGAACATATTGATTTGCGTCTAGTAGTCGTTTGTAGGCGCCCGTCAAGCGCGGCGAAACGACAAGAATCGAGCACCTCTAGTATACTTGTGCATATAACCCTGTCACGTAACTACCACTTGATGTCTGATCTGATTGAATTTGTTGGTTACACACCTGCAAGCACATCCTCCACGCAGCGGTTGAGAAGCGCTGATGTCATGAATTTGAAACGACCTCCCGCAACTTGCAATTACAAGGCGCGCGACGATGTACTCGGCCGACGAAGTCGGACTCCTATCTACTTGCTCCGTGGTTCGCCTCTCCTTACTTACCAAGGCCCACCATGAGAAGCAAGATACCTGAGGAACATACGCTACCGCTGGAACTGATACACCAGGTGAGTTTCGGTCCCACGGTCACGACATTCATGTCGTAACTTACCATCCTCAGGGTGAGCATTCAGCATTATACATTGACCTCTCCAGTATCTGACATAGCCAAAACATCGTAACATTGTATACTCAGTCTTCAGCTATGCTTCTCAACATCTTTCTACTGCTGCCACCCTGTGCCGCGTATGCCGCACCACTCGCTCCTGGGTCCTCCCTCTCCTCCTCAACACCCTCACCCTCACCTCCTCTCAGGCCATCGCTCGCTTCGCCTATTCACTAATGGAAGGGCCCGATGACGTTCCCTTAGACCCCACCCCCGCCTCTCTCGTCCGCAACCTCTGGCTCGGGCCCACCAGCAGCATCGACCAGAACGACCTCGACTACGGCTCCAACGCTTGGCCCATCACCCTCATCCACCAGATCCTCACCCGCTGTACCGCCCTGCGCGCCCTCGCCGTCGTCTGCATAGGCCAAGCCCGCTGGTACCGCCTCACCGGGGTCATCCCCGTCTCTGTCACCTCGCTGTGGCTCGGGCCCGTCCACGGCGAACTCGACTACAAGCATCTGCCCTGCGCCCCCAACCTGCGATACTTGACGAGCCTGGACACGTTCATGCTCGATACCGAGGTCCGCGACCTCGTTCTGTCCCCGAGCATCTCTGTGCTCAGGAGAGTGTACTCGTCTGCGGACCGCGTCACGCTAGCGTTCGACCAGCTCGAGTGCGTGCAGAGGGCGACGGTGCTGGAGAGGTTGGACATAGTGTGTTGTGGGGAGACGGAGGAGGAGGCGAAGGGCGTGCTGGAGGAGACGGCGAACAGGTACGAGTTTGATCGAGATCGTGTTGCGTTGGTGCCCGTATCGTCGTATTGCGATGGGAGGCGCGATGTCATTGCAGTCCTCTTCGGAGACTGGGCTGCACATATTCGTCGTTTGTGATCGCCACAGGTATCTTTGGCTGCTGTTTTGTCAGATGGGCAGAGAGGTTCGCTCGTCTGTCCTTAATAGGCTGGCGACATCAATGCTCATCTCCATCCTCAGGTGTACACTAGGTCTTGTACAAACACGATGTTATCATGGAACCATCCTATATGATCATCATGCCACCATTGCGGGTGCTGGACTCAAGCATAGAGCATACTCCCGATCCTCACAGTCCTGCTAACTACCAGCTCAACCATACGTTGCCAGCTCCGAGTGTCGAGGAGCCTTATCAAGAAGCTGCGGTGAGCGCAGCTACCGTTCTGTCGCTGTGCAATCTCCCTTCATAGCATACTGATTCACCCTTTCAGAGGAGCAGCTTGGTCTGACAGCTCCGCCGTCCCAGGTCTATCACCTAAGCCCTCCGTACGTCTGGAGATGACGGCGCAGTGGTAGAAGCGCAGTCGCGGGCGAGGGAAGCAGGTATATATGCGTCCTGACATCCACTGCACATAGCTCGTCAACACGATGTTCTCTAGCCTCCAGCGCCTCGTGGTCCTCTCGCTTCTCACCCCCGCTCTCCGCATGCAAGCGTCATCATCCTCAATACAATGGGTCTCTTGCGACCCCTCCGTTGTCTCGAACCCTGCACTCTCCTGTGGCTTCTTCGACATCCCGCTCGACTACCACGACCCCGCCGCCGGTCGGGGCAGGCTTGCGGTCATCAAGGCGAATGCGACGGGCCCGCGGCGTGGGACGGTCTTCTTCAACCCAGGGGGCCCGGGGGGATCCGGGCTCGAGGCGCTGGACGCGGACGCGGCTGTGTTGGGCGGCCTCACCGGGGGCGTGTACGACATCGTGAGTTGGGACCCGAGGGGCGTCGGGGCGCTGACCGTGTACGTCGAGGACTTCCCTGTAGTGGCATTGGCTGATAGCATGGCAGGCCAGGGGAGATCTTCTGCTTCGGCAGCGCGGAAGAACACGACGCGTTCTTTAACGGCACCATCGAGCTTACTGGGGTCGAGTACACGGGCAGCTTCACCGACCCAGCGGACGTCCACGCTTTGTTCTCTCAAACCAAGGTTCTTCAGCACAAGTACGAGGAGGTCGGCCGGAAGTGCCTCGAGGGCCCGTCGGGGCGGTATCTGAAGTATGTCGGGGCGGCAGCGACGGTGCGCGACATGATTGCACTGGCGGATGCACTGGACGGGGAGGGGGCAGAGGTGAATTATGTTGGGGTGTCGTATGGGACGCTGTTGGGGTCGTGGTTTGTGAATAGTAAGCTCCTGGATTCTCTTGGTAAGGTTTGTGATGAATGCAGACAAGTTGCTTGCAGTGTTCCCGGATGTGAGTGAATCCGTTTGTCACGAAGTGTGGTCGTTAATGAGACGCTGTCAGCGCGTCGGGCGGGTGATCTTGGACGGCGTAGTCGATCCCGTCAGCTTTGCGACCGAACAGATTTCATTGGTGCGTCGATCGCGTTCGCGCACCGTCATCAAGCCCTCACTGATAGATTTTCCCAATAGAACGCCGCGAACTTTCTGCTCAAAGACGCAGACAAAGTGTACGAAGCCTTCATCACCGGCTGCCTTCTCTCCGGCACCACTGGATGTCCCATTGCCGCGAACGCGTCGAGCCCCGAGGAAGTCAACCAGAACGTCCAAGCGCTGCTGCGAGCTGCGCATGACGCTGCTCGGAGGGACCCATCCGTCGCGGTCTCTTCAAGCGTGATCCGGTGTGAGTACTGGCGCATTTGGTCCTGTCTGCCTTCCCGACTCATACTCCACACGTCCGTGATCGAGCAGCTTTGCTCTACACACAGATGGAGTCGCCGGAAGGGTGGTCGCAGTTAGCGAACGTCACGTATCCACAGCTTGTCCAGGCAGTGGCACAGGAAGTTAGTGAGAGCACGTTCTTGCCGTCACGGTTTGGACGCCCCAGGTGAGCTCTGTCAAGTAACACGATACCAAAGATTTTCAAATGTTCACATTTGGGGGCAGAAACCCTCTGCGATCGCGCTCCAGCGCCAGTGAGACAGGGGTGTCCTACACCAGCCAAGCGATCTGGTGTGGGGACAGCGTCGACCGGGCCAGCACGACTATGCTCAACATTTTCGACGACCTGGTAGCCGGGACTAGACGTGTTTCCCACCTATGTACGTCTTGCGACGGGTGTCGCCGTCACATGCCACTCATCTCACATCGTATGATGCGCGGTCGCGTGCATAGTCGGGGGTCTGTGGCCGACTGCGTTCTATTCGTGTCCTTTCTGGCCTGTGCGGTCGGTGGAGAGGTATCGAGGCCCGTTCAATAGGACGCTGGCGAACAAGATCCTGGTGGCGAGCAACTTGGTACGTATGTGCAGATGTGATGCCATCGAATCGATGTGATCTTGCGATGGTGCAGTTCGCTGACTCGTGGCTAGCTCGATCCCGCGACGCCTATCGCCGGCGCCCAAAGGGTGGCTGGTCTCCTCGGCGAGAACGCGACACTCGTCACGCAGAACGCTTTTGGGGTAAGTCGGGTGTACTAGTTGGTCGTCTTTGGTTTCCCGAGCTAACGGCTGATGATCAATGCTAATCACAATCACCTATCTCGTGACAGCACACCACGCTGTCAGAGCCGTCCACTTGCGTGAGCACGATAATGATGACGTACATGCTCACAGGAAAGGTGCGGCTCTCGTTGCTCATTGGATTTCGTTGCCAGCTCTGAATGTCTTGGTGCCCTGTAGCTTCCCGAGGGGCCGGTGGTGTGCGAGGTTGATGGAGGCTTTGAAATGTTCGAGGGAGTGGACACTTCGGACATCTTGGCTCGGTTGTCAGGTCCCGATGTGCGAACGCGGTAATGTCAAATGGGTAGCTGTGAACAGGGAACCAGTTGGATAACTACCAAGAACGGAGCATCGTACGTGGTGATACATCGTTCGACGGTTGAGCGGTCGCGCGTAAGAGAAGCACATCGCTCAGCGACTCCTGAAGCATGAATCTAACGTGTCTTATCTTACACTACTGACCTCAATAATTCCAGGCTTGTTGCGTATCGGCTCCCCAGTCGCACTGCGCTTCCACAGCCACTCGGTCAACAATCGGCATCAGGAGCATTGCTCCACTTCGCTCTCGATTGTGATACTGGTGCGTCTATCGCGGCTCGGAAAATAGACCACTCCTCGGAACTCCGGTAATTGATGTTCTGAAAGGTAAGGCCCGCAATATATCGCGAAATACATTTAGGCACATCTCACACAGGTGCTATTCAAGGTGAGTTTCGAAGTCGACCAAGATATGCGAGTTTAACGTGCGAGCTTGCACACATCCTGCTATGGTTCTACGTTTCAACGCCGCACTTGTACCTGAACGCGTACCTGTGACATGCGCTTGCGACGCCCGCCCGTCTTGCTGAGGAGTTCTAGCTCTAGTGTCTCACCAATGGAAACCGTGGACACCCTTCGTAAGTATATCTCCGTCACCGATTTAGCGGGTGTTCACGCGCTCCACCAGATTCTCCCTACAAATGGTAATTACCGTCCGCGTCGGCGAGGTCTAGACAGCACCCCAATGACTCAACGGCATTCCGATCACACTCTCTGCGTCTATCTGCAATCCAGACGTATGTCGGTCGAATTAAGCCGGTGAGGTATTTGTAAATCACTCGCGCCGATTGTGAACTTCCTGAAGCATATGTCGCAAACGCTTACGGTTTGGGACCTCTGTACGTGGCTCTTCTCACATGTCATCCCGCATACCTGGCAACAACAACGTGCGGGTCCGCATTGGCTTGATAGAGAAACATGAGCTCCCGGAGGTGTGCGATAGCACTGGAATCCGGCATGCAATCGTGGACTCGCGGTTCCGACCCGTGCTGTGTTCGCAGTCCCCTTCCGACAGCGTCACGACTCGCGGCGTACGGGAGCGCCGTTATAGTTCATGCCTCAATATCTAGATCGTACGTCACATAAATATCGGTGCATGCGCAACTGCGTCGCCGAAATCCACAATTCGGCGTCACTCTGCTCCGCATACTAATACCTCACTCTCAAGGACTACGGCCTCCTTCTCCACTGTTCGGTACGTACGATCAGTGAAACGTATACTCCCATCGGCGCTCGGCATGTGGTCGGCGCATTCCCACCTGTGTCCTTCTGCGTCCGCTATGGTGCCGGGATTTTCTCGCCTTGTCAAGCGGCCGCACTAAAAGACACTCACGCCAGCGGAGACATGAGAACTTCAGGGGCAGCGGCTAAGGATGGCGTATGCTCTTTCCTGTGTGAGGGAGCAAGGCTGTGGCGGGCCTTACGCGCGCGTATGGGTATACATATGGACTGTGCGCACGATCTACGCCGCGTCCCCCTCAACGCTTCGAGCAACCCTCTCGTGACAGTTCGTCGTTCCCTATCACGCGAACGCCAAATACCCGAACACCCCTGCCCATGAACTCGGAGGCGACCCCGCAATCAACAGCACCCCACACCCCTGCAGTCGTCGAAGCGGACCCCAACTCGTCCAGCTCGACACTCGTTAACCACGCCATGTCTCCTGCATCGACCTCGCACGGGCCCTCGACTCCAGCCTCGCCCTTCTCCGCCTCGTTCGACCCCAACGAGTCGGCGCTCTCCACCCAAGCGTCGCTCACCACTCCCCTCGCGATCCGCCAGGGCCCCTTCTATCCCTCCGGCGACGTCCAGCTGCGCCCCGCAGGGCCAGACGTGAGCGCGCTCTTGGCCCACCGCCTCTCCGCGTCGTTTGGAGCGATCGCGGAGCAGATCGCAGCAGCCTCGCGGGCGCTCGCCGTGCCCGCCTCTAACGCCGCAGGCGCCCTGGAGGCCCCGAGCGGGGGAACTGGGGGCGGGAGCCCGAGTCAAAGCGCGGAGCTCGTGGCGCTCGAGACGAGGCTGGGGATCGTCGAGCGCGCGCAGGAGCAGCTGAGCGCGGACGTGCAGCAGGTGCAGGCGGAGCTCTTGCGGCTGAACGGAGTGGGGTCTGCGCACGGGGAGAAGGAGCAGGGAGAGGGCGGGATCGTGGAGGTGCGGAACGGCGCGGGGGCGGAGGGTACGGGCGAGTTCAAGAGCGCGACGGAGATGGCGATTGAGGAGCTGCAGAAGAAGGTGGAGGGGATCATCGAGACGATCAAGTTGGAGTGCGTCCTTTTCCCCTGAATTCTGCGTGTCTGGAGAGTCTCGCGCGGTGCGCTGACGGGTGCATGCAAACAGTCAGGCGCGATTGTATGCGCGGTTGCATAACTCGACGGTCACCTCGAACAAGCATCCTATCCAGGCACCCGTGACGGCCAACGGCAAGGTCCCGCAAAACTTCCCGAACACGAAGGGCGAGTTCGAGCATCTCACCAGTGGGTCTTGTCTATGTAACCTTTTGCGCGTGCTTGAAGTTCTGACGTGATATGTAGAGGAGCGATACGAGCATATACTCAATGCATACAATGTCACGCCGAAGGGAGACACGAAGGCTAAGCGCGAGCAGCTGCGCGAGTTCATCGGCCTTACACCTCCCACAAACTGAGTCGCCCCGACATACACGGCCTCTCGAAAGTGTGCCGGCTACATGAGGGCCGGTGTTCTATCACATCTTATGGATCATCCTACTATACGGGATACGTAATAGGCAAGCTACATGGGTACACGCGAGTCACCGTCCATAGAATAGAGTTTGGGTTCGTTCTCCCCATACGAGTACGCTCGTCTGCCCGCGAATCACCCAGGCTTGGCCGCCAAGGTATTGAATGTCGGACTTCTAGCTCAAACCATATCGCCGACTGTCATGAAAGCGTCTTCATGAAGTTGTCGGCGCGATCAAGCAGAATGCGATGAGTGGAGCTTTGAGGTTCTTGGTATAAGACAGAGGGACTGCATGAGCTTGGCATCACCACCGGCTAGCCATCCGGCTGCAACATCCGTGGGGCATGGGGTACGGGTACCAGAGCATATATATGCGCAAGAAGGCGGGAATGCACGAATTTGACGACTTCTATTCCTTCCTGGATCCCTGTCAGTGAGTCTGCGACAGGTGAGTTGGCCTAATCGTGGACAGTATACAAGCCTTGGACGAGCCCGACAGAGTCTGAGGACTGCGAAAGGGTGCACGATATGGGTGATTGGATTGCGAGTCACGAATCGCGCCGGCATAGGTGGGCCTCCTTCGAGGAATTTGTATTTCTCTTGGGACTGGACTGGACTGAACCCGGAGACGATGGAAGTTTTCAGGGTATATAAGGCCCGTCCTTCCTCCAACTCGACTCCTTCCACGTCTTCCTCCACACGCTGGTCCTGCGCTGATCCACTCCCCTCGTTGCTGGCCGCTCATCTCTCCTGGGCGTACGATGCTAATGGGCTCGAGCCGTTGTTTCGGTTCACGCCTGTCGCGCACGCCGCACGGCGTCTGCCACGCCACTATGCTAAAGTCCCGCTGCGGCCACATTGAAGATGCAAGTAACGGACTGGATAACGCCTCCTTCGCTGCCAATGCACCTCTACCATTAGCATGCGATCATCTCGCGATGCAGGGGGCTCCGCTGCGATGAATGCGCCGGCGAAGGAGCGGAAAGATGAGTGGCCAGGTGAGCATGAGGTGCCGGTATTTCACATCGCGGTCCTCGCCGTCGTCCTCGGCCAAGCTCGGACAGGACGGATTACGACTGCTCGTGGCTTCTGCAATACATCTGCGAGCCCCTGTAGCAGCGAAAATAGCCTCAGGGTTCTGTCAGAACGACGGCGACGTTCGCGAGGGTGTACGTTAGGGTGAGATCGTCCGTCACATCAAGGCAGCTATGTTATCCTCCAATCACGGCCGCCGTGGCTGTCGCATCAGTGCTCTGCCGTCCACCCAGCGACGGCTTTCCCTCCTGCCACCACTCGCTGCCTCCGCGCTTGTCCGATTCCGACCAATTCCTGCGCTGGCCGTGCCTAGACGGCGTCCTGCTGCATAAATACCCCTCGTGCTGTGGTTTCCGATACGATACATCTCTTGACTCCTCTCCCCTGTCAACGGTTCGCATACCCACCGCAAAGATGGCCTCCACCTTCTCAGATCCCAGTCCTATGATCCTCACAAACATACTCGGCCGGAACGAGAAGTGGGCGGAAGCGATGAATGACGCCACGAAAGGCCAGTTCTTCCCCAAGTCTGCAGAGGGTCAATCGCCCAAGGTCAGTCCTCCCAGTCCTCCCGCGTGCGATACTAGGTTGCTGCAGTAGCGTAGCGCGCAGGATACACTGCTGCGCCATGATAGGTCATCTCGCCCCTCGCCACAGTCTTTCTCGTGCGGTCGAGACATGAACTCTGATATGTCCACGCGGTTATAGGTGCTCTGGATCGGCTGCGCCGACTCTCGAGTCCCAGAGTCCGTCGTCACCAACTCGTATCCCGGCGATATCTTCACGCACCGCAATATTGCAAAGTTAGTATCCGGTCCCTGCCCATTCCTTGCCCACGTACCAATCTCCGCCCCTCCCTCTTCTTTCCATTGTGCACCACAGCCAGTTCCATCCGACCGACGACAGCGCGGTCTCCGTGCTGACCTACGCCGTCGAGCACGTCAAGGTCGAGCACGTCATCCTCGTCGGCCACACCAACTGCGGCGGGGCCGCAGCCTGCGTCAAAGCCGCAGAGGCCGCCCAGTCCGAGCCCACGTCGGCCCTCGACCGCTGGCTTGGCCCCTTGACCGAGCTCGCGCGGACCACGACCCCAGAGGGCGACCTCACAGCGCTCGTCGAGGCGAACGTGCGCGTGCAGGTGAGCAACATCCTGGCGTCGGATGTGCTCGAGCGCGAGTGGAAGCTGCGGGACGTGCACGTGCACGGGTGGGTGTACGAGCTCGAGACGGGGAAGCTGCGTGACTTGGGAATCAGTGCGGGGCGGAACGGGCCGTTGCAGTACTGAGCGGTGAGAGCGCTGTGGCGCGTCGTGAATGACCTTGAACGAGACTTGTACCACTACCGTGATGATATGACGAATGATGACTGGAACATGTTTGCTGTGTCTTCCGCCGCGGCCGTATTGAAGGTGCAGGTGGCGGGTTGGGCAAGGCCTATGTCAAGGCCTGTATTGGGATGGGATCATCTCGCGATGCGGAGGCATCTGCCGCGCTCAATGCGCAGATGAGAAAGACAAAGGAATTAGTTGCGGTATACGTCCCGGTGTTTTCAGCCTGCCCGTCGGCGTCGTCCTGGGCCGAGTTCAGACAGCCTCCATTACTACTGATTTGAGTTCTGTCGCAACTCCCACATTCTTCGCGAGGATGTACGTTACATACGTCAGACCATCTGTCGTCTGACTGCAGCAGTGGCATCCCTCTAACCATGTCAGGTCGTGGCTGTCCCGTCGGTCTCTTGTCACAGACCTTGCAAGGTATCTCGGGGCTGGAGGCGGCCTGCGCACGTTCGCGGAGGAGAATGTACGTATGCAAGTGGACAACGTCCGGAAATCGGAGGTTCTGAAGCGGGAGTGGAAGAGGGACGTGGCGGTGTACGGGTGGGTGTATGAGCCCCAGGCACGACAACCATTCCGTTTGAGGATTATTGCAGGGAGGAGCAGGCTGCTGCAAAACTAATATGGCTGTGGTACGTCGCAAATGACTCTGAGAGAAATATACCGATGAATGATGAATAGAGCATGAACGCATATCATGTCGTCCCACCCGCTAGATCCGCCACAGCCATATCGAAGACGCAGGCAGCCGGTTGGCTGAGCCTCAGCCTTCCCCCAAGCCAGCTGACGGCGTTAGCTGTCATGAATGCGCGGAGAAGGATCTGCACGATTGATGCAGCGATGGTGATAGAGAGGAGAAGTACTAGGTGAGCTAGTACCACAGCTCATACACCGGTATCATCCAGCGTGCCTCGCATCGTCGTCCAGCGCCGACCGTCCATCGTGCCACTACGCGCTACCCTCTGGCTTGTTCGGCCCCATTCCTACACCGGTCGTTCCTAGATGACCTGGCTGTTGTACACATAAATACCCCCTCGTACAGCGGTTTCTGACAGGACGCGACTCATTTCCCCCCTTGGTCGATTATCCGCACGCCTACTACAACCATGGCCACCACCGTGCTCAACTCGACCGAGTCCCCGAGCTACCCTGAACCCACCCCCATCGTCCTCACGAGATTACTCGATCAGAATGAGAAGTGGGCGGAAGCGCATAGCGAACTATTCCCCATGGGTCCTCAGACTCCCAAGGTCAGTCACTTCGCTTCTTCTCTTGCGGTTGAAGCACAAGGTCTGACAAACCCTTGGACTGGATAGGTTCTCTGGTTCGGTTGCGCCGACTCCAGAGTCCCGGAGTCCGTCATCACCGACTCGATACCCGGAGTAATCTTTACTCATCGCAACATTGCTAAGTTAGTCCACAATTTCCTCCCTTTTCGGCCTGCGTACCGATCTCTATCTTGCTCTCACATCTCAGCCAATTCCACCCCGAGGATGACAGCGCGGTCTCGGTGCTAGCCTACGCCGTCGAACACGTCAAGGTCGAGCACATCATCGTCGTCGGCCATACCGACTGCGGCGGGGTCAAAGCGTCCGCCGATACCGCCGCGACCCAATCTCCCCCATTCTCCCGCGCCACCGCACTCGAGCGCTGGCTTGCGACCCTCACGGAGTTCGCCTGGTCAGTCGGCCCAGGCAGCGACATTACCGAGCTCGTCGAGGCGAACGTGCGCATGCAGGTCGTCAACGTCCTCAGTTCGGAGGTGCTCGAGCACGAGTGGAAGCTCAGGGACGTCCACGTGCATGGTTGGGTCTACGATCTCGCAACGGGCAAGCTGCGCGACTTGGGAATCAGTGCGGGGCGGAAAGGGCCGGTGCAGTACTGAGCGGTGAGGACGCCGTCGTGCATTGCGAATGACCTCGAACGAGGCTTGTACCACTACAGTGATGCTATAACGAATGTTGACCAGCACATGTATGCTGTCTCGTCCGACTGGTCCCACGGAAGTACTACTGCAGGCGCAAGCAATGGGTCGGATCAGGCCTATCACAATACCAGCTGGTTGTGTTAGCGTATACGATACTCCGTCGCCATCGATGGGCCGGAGAAGGATAGAGAAGCGAAATACTAGGTGAGCTACAGCTCACTTTCCGGTATTTCTCAGCATGCCTCGTGCGGTTGTCCACCTCAGACAGCTTCCATCACAACTTCCCGAGGCTTCTGCAATACCTCCGCTGGATCCTGTGGCATCAGGCATAACCTACAGTCTGCGGCTGGCGACGTGATTCGCCCGGATGTGCGTCACATAGGGTGGATCCCTCTGTCGCATGACTGCAGCTATTCTACTCCTCCAACCACGTTCGCTGGAGCTAATGCAGCAGTGTTTTGTCCACCAACACCCATGCCACCACGCGCTGCCCTCGTGCTCGTCTTACCCTCACCGATTCCTACGCCTGTCGTTCATAGCTGACCTGTCTGTTGTATAAATCCCCCCTCGATTTCTGACAGGACGTAACTCAGTGCCCCTCTCCTCGATTGACCATCAACCCGTCTGTTGCAATCATGACATCCACCTTCCTCCCAAGTCCCCCCTCTAAGATCCTCTCGGACCTGCTGAATCGGAACGAGAAGTGGACGGAAGCGAACAGCGGACTATTTCTACAGGAAACCCAGTCGCCTAAGGTCAGCTCTTCTAGCGCTCCTCGAATCCTTTATTCCGGCGCGCGTGCTGTATGAGGCGTCTGCGGACGCTAAGTTGCAGGTGCACAGGACGCTCTCTCGCGATATGCCCGTCTACCCCCCAGCCCTGCGGTCGAGGCATAGGTCTGACGTCTCCCTTTTCCCTTGAATTGGATAGGTTCTCTGGATCGGCTGCGCCGACTCGCGAGTTCCGGAATCCGTCATTACCAATCTCGAACCCGGCATGATCTTCACTCATCGTAACATCGCAAAGTGAGTCTGTCTCGTTGCTCTCCACTTCTAGTCTGTCTACAAATCCGCATGCCTCTGTCTCCTCTTCACGCTCTCGTCCCTGATGAATCATTGCGCGTCCCAGCCAATTCCATGCAGACGACGATAACGCGATCTCGGTGCTCATCTACGCCGTCGAGAACCCGAAGATGCGGGTCGACCACATCATCGTCGTTGGCCACACCCGCTGCGGCGGGGTGGAGGCATGCTGCAAAGCCGCACAGGCAGACGACTCCCCTCCTGCCAATGCGCTCCAGCGCTGGCTTGCGCCGCTCACAGAATTCGCGCGGAACAACGGTCTGGGCGGCGATCTCAGCGCGCTCTTGGAGGCAAACGTGCGCATGCAGGTAGACAATGTGCTGAAGTCTGAAGTGCTGGAGCGCGAGTGGGGGATTAGGGATGTGCACGTGCACGGGTGATCACCGTACGATGTTGAGACGGGGAAGTTGCGCGATCTGGAGATTAGCAGGGGGAGGGATGGGCCGGTGCAGTACTAAGCTAGTTGGGTGGTGTGCCGCAAATGTCTCGAAAGCAACCTGTACTACTATCATCCGTTTTCCGAAGGAATTGAGAATGCATTGTACCGTCAAATGGGCGAGGGGACGTCGCGTCCTCTCTAACTTCGCCCGATCTTGATCGACCTTAGTGATGCTCATGGTCGCGGATAGATGTTAGCAATAAAGTTTCTGTATGTATCGCGGGGGCAGAGCTGCAGTCGTGTCCATGCTAGGCACAAACGTATAGTACAGAATTAAACGTCCCATAGGCACTGAGTGGTATGTCGATGTTCGTCGTCCATGAGTCGAGATACAAGATCCTTGGCAGGTTGTTACCGCCCCCTCTTCCCGCACGCAAAACAGATACAGCGTGGGGCGGGCCCTTATCAAACTGGACTTGATGGAGTTTTAGAAGACAGCAGCAGGAACAGCCTCGCCCTACGTACCAGAATCCTATGCACACAATTTCTTCCCCTTCGACAGCCCGTCGATGAAACTATCCATGGTCTTCTTGAACCGGCATACCCCGCACTGCTCGCTCTCCACATGTTGGCAGAACCCACTGAGTGTGTTAAACTTCGCCCCGCACCCCTTCCACGCCGTCGGGCAGTGGTACAGCCCCTTCTGGGTGTGCGCCGGGCTGTTCAGGTGCTGGTTCAGGTCGAACATCTGCACGAAGGTCCGGTGGCACAGGTAGCACTCCCACCGCATCCCGTTCCATGCACGCGCCGTCGCCCACGAGCCCGTCACTTGCATCCCGCTCCCGGGCCCAATGAGCTTCGTCGGGTCGCTGATGACCCCGTGCGTGTCGAGCTTCGCGACGATCCGGTTGACCATGTCGCGCGTGATGCGGGAGAAGCAGCCCCCGGACTCGAGGTGGTGCACGAGCGCAGCGCGGGAAACGAAGGACTTGATGCATCCTTTCATGGGGCAGTCGATGGTGCGGCCCTTGTGGAAGGTCGAACGCTCGTGATGTCGGAGGGCGTTTGTGTTCTTGAACATGCGCTTGCATGGAACACAGTAATCGTCCGCGTGGGCGAAGCGGCGGTGTTCATGTAGCGCGGTCTCGAAGGGAAACATCTGTTGCAGGGGGACGGCGAGGACCGCCTACGATGTGGACAAGGTGCACAGCTTAAACATGGTCTGATGTGTACGTACCAGGTTGCAGAGTTCACAATAGAAGTGTGCATCCACAAAATGGGCGAAAAGATCTCCATAGTCACCGAAATGATCGTCGCACCATGGGCAGTACGGGTGCTGCGGGCTGTTCGTGAAGTGCAGTATGAGGGTGGCGTTGGACGCAAAGTCCATGTTGCACTTGTAGCAGATGTAGTGCATGTTCGAGTCATCTCTGTGTTGCTGGAGAGCGCGCTCGCTCTTGAAGAAGCGATTGCAGAGACTGCAGTAAGCCATCATGGAGGAGGGGGAGTCTCGAAATGAGAGCGGACGGTTGTGCCGACCCCAATCGGGTGCTGCGGTAGATGAGGGGACGGCGTGGGACAAGAAGGTAGCTTGAGCTGACGCGTATAACGTACATGACAGCTTCACACGTGATGCGTGCAGGGAGGCATCCTTGTCTTCGAACAATGCCTTGAGGAGAGACGGGAGGATGGAAGCCGAATTCCTCACGAAGACGCCCGATTAGCCAATTCGAACTCACTGGAGGTTCGAGCAAAGTCAGCATACGGCCGTGACCTACCTTCGAACCTGGATGCGCCGCGGATGACAGTACGAAAGGCTGGCACGCTGCTTGAGAATAAGATGTGATTGTCTAAGAATACAACAAATCCGTTGTTCCGTCATGCAGACAAGTGGCGTATGAGTACAGCGCTTGTGAAATCCAACTTTGCGAGCGCTTCGGCGTTAAAGGCGAATGAATACAGAAAGAAACCCTAAACCTTGAGTCTTGAGCCTGGCGGGGAAAGCCTGTCTGAGAGGATGTTAGGCAGGGATGTCCGCAGCGCATTCTGATCCACCCACCGATAAAGCGTAGGGTCTAATACCCTGTCAACAACCTCCCACCCTTGGCGACATCATCGATGATCTTGCGGAACTTGTCCTGGAAGCGGATGACCCCGCAGCGTCCGCTCTCCACGTGTTGTAAGAAGGCACTGAGCGTGCGGTACTCCGTCCCGCACCCACCATAGGCCTTCGGGCAGTGGTAGAGCTTGTCCCCGTGCACAGGGCTACCCAAGTGCGCGTTGAGGGCGGTGAGCGACGAGAACGTCTTGTGGCAAACGTAGCACTCGTAAGCCCACCCGTTCCACGCGCGTTCGGTCGCCCAGGTCTTAATAACGTCCGGACTAGACCGAGAGGGCCCCTCGATGAGTCGCTCCGGGTTAGTAATGATCCCGCGTTTGTCATATTTAGCAACGAGATCGTCGATCATCTTCCGCGTCATCCCGGAAGTGCACGTTCCGGACTCGAGGTGGAGGACGAGGTGAGAGGTAGAAATGAACAATTTCCCGCAGCCTTTCATAGGGCAACGGATGGTGGCGGGTTGGTGGATTGCGGACCGCTGGTGCTGGCGGAGATTGTTCGCATTTATGAACATTCGCTTGCATGGGATGCACCAGCGATCTGCGTGCTCCTCCTCGCAGTGCGCAAGCATCGACTTTCTATCTCTGTACACCTGGGAATGGGATATGGACTCAAGTTGAAGGTTGCCTTGTTGTCTGCGACACTCACCAGGTGGCACCCCGGGCATTTGTAGTGCGCTTCTTCATAATGTTCGCTCAACGACATGTCCAAGTCGTCAATGAGCTCTGAGCACAGGGTGCAGTACGTATGCCGAGAACTGTTCATATAATGTTGCGTAAGAGCGGTTTCGGAGACGAAGTCCCTGTCGCACGCGGCGCAGAAGTGGTGGTAGCTTGAGGTGCGTTCGTGCTGCCATAGCGCTTGGTCACTACAAAACCAGCGACGGCAACGCTCACAATACGCCATGGCGACGCGAGAAGACGGTGTGAGGTGGCCAGTGGCAGTAGGGAACGCGAGATGGACAGGCAGCGTTAGCAGTCGTTGTGGTGGCGGGACGCTGGGACAGCAATGGGCGTCTACGTACAAACGCGATAGCACCCGTGCCGCCGTGCGAATTCCTCTCAACTGAGACGTGACACGCATGTGATAAATGTGATGAATACATACGATTGTCTGTGACTCAATACAAATACAACATAGAGATGAATGAGTGAGCCCGTTGCGCGCGAAATATATCATTGCGCGCGAGTGGCCACGGGGCCAAACTAAAGGAGATGAGAGTTGAACGGTGTAGATTCCGTTGTTGTGCCCACGCGCAAGGAACCTGTTTGAGCGAGGGTGCCGAGCGAGGTTGTCTGCAGAGTGTCCTTCTTCGACCACATGTATCAAGACATCGTCACGAATCTTCCCTTGGTGACGCCATCCAGGACTTTCTTGAGCTTGCGCGCAGAGCGGTCGAGCCCACACCGTCCATGCTCGATGTGCTGGAATAGGGCGCTCACGAGGGTATATTCCTGCCCACATCCACCGTAAGCCTCCGGGCAATAGCATCGGTTGTCGTTGGTCGTGATTACGCCCTGCTTGTCGTATCTTGCGACGGCACGAAGGACTGTGCAGCGCGTCAGGCCCGAAGGACATGCTCCGCCCTCGTAATGAAGGACCAGGGCGGCAGGACCGATGAAAGATCTTTCGCAGTCTTCCATGGGGCACGGGAGATTGGCGGGCCGGTGAGTTGAGGAATGAAGGTGCTGGCGTAGATTGTTCTCGTTTTTGAACATCTGCTCGCACTCGGAGCACCAGCGATCGGCATGGGCTTGCTCACAGTGGGCGAGCATCGACCGGCGGTCTTCGAAGACCTGTGAACGTGAGAGTGTCTTAAGTAGTAGATACCGCCGTGAAGACTTGTGCCACTGACCCGGTCGCATCCTGGACATGCGTGGTGGGTCTTCTCACGATGTTCTTGCAGTGAGATGCCCAAGTTGTCAATGAGCTCTTCACAGATCGTACAGTAAGTGTGACGAGAGCTGTTCATATGATGTTGTTTGAGGGCGGCTTCAGAGACAAAGTCCCTGTCACACGCATCGCATAAGTGGTGATTGCTTGAATAGCGTTGGTGCTGCCGCAAAGCATGCTCAGTTACGAAAGAACGCCCGCAACGTTCACAGTACACCATGGTGGCGCGCGAGGAGATGGTAGTACGAGGAAGGAAATGGTCGGGAACTTGAACAGGCCGAGACGCGGTAGATCCCAGATTGGTAAGCAATCGGCGTCTACTTACAATTGAACCCAGCTGATCCGAAGGACTTGTCAGACCCGCATGCGATACAGTACGGTACCGCCCGGCTCGCATCGGCACTCCGAGTTTCAACAGGTATCATAAACCCAGGCGAAATTTATGTGATAGCACTCGAGATACTGGCTCCCGCGGACCGCTGCCGGTGACCACAATAGAAGTCTCAGTAGCACCTCTGCAACAGTTGACGACATATGATTTGTCTCGTGACCAGGCATCCTCATAAATGTACTACACCTTTCAGATGCTCGAATGCTGCTACAAATGCCATCACAGCTCACAGGATTGGATGTGATATGATAAATAAATTGTGATTTTCTCTGACATAGAATGTATGTACATATCTGATATTCTGCTATGGAGAATGAGCGTCCGCTGCGCTTGTAAGAGAGATCTCGCAACGCGTAAAATTGGCTATGTGAGCAAAGGCATCAAGCGAGTTTGTCTGCATAGTATCTTATTCGCTAATACGGATCAAGACGCAGTTACAAACCTTCCTTTGACAACGTCATCGATGACTTCGTTGAGTTGGCGCGCCGAGCGATCGAGCCCACACCGTCCATGCTCAACATGCTGAAATAGGGAGCTTAAGAGACGGAACTCCCTCCCACATCCGCCGTAAGCCTCCGGGCAGTAGCATAGGGTGTTGGCGTTGGTGATGACTCCCTCTGTGTCGTGCTCTGCGACTGCGCGAATGACCGTGCTGCGCGTCAGGCCGGAAGGGCATGCCCCGGCCTCATAATGGAGAACGAGCGCTGCGGGATCAATGAAGAATCTTCCGCAACCTTCCATGGGGCATGGGAACCTGGCGGGCCGGTGGACGGCGGAACGAAGGTGCTGCATGAGGTTGTTCTCGTTCTTGAACATATGCTTGCACGAAGTGCACCAGCGATCGGTGTGAGCTTGGCCGCAGTGCGCTAGCATTGACATTTTATCTCTGAAAAGGTGATGCTGAGGGTGTACGGAAGGGCGATACACGGGCGTCAGTTCAGAGTGTGAGACGTATTCGTGTGAATTGTAGCCCTGAATCACAGGACTCAGAGGATGTATGACGATCTCTGTATGACTTAACAGACATTCCGAAACCCGGGTCCTTATATACTCTTGACAGGGACCCTAGGTCATTCTAGATTGGCTCCGTATGACACCGGGTGACTCCGAATGAGTCGAGATAATTCTAGAACACTCCAGAAGATTCGGGAGAACTCTGGATATGTAGTCTCCGCCATGCTTACAAATCGTCAGGACATGACATGCTCCCAGAGCCTAACCCAATGAAATGCGCATAGGAAAGTGATCCTTCTTGAAGGGGAAGTGTCATAAGTCCATGCCATTGCCGTCTACCATTCCAGACGGCAGGAGTCGTAACAATGGCACAGGTCATGAACATATAGAGAAGCCTGAGTCAAATATGGTATCGCGCCGCTCGTGGATGCTGAAGGACGCGCTTGTCTACGAGTAAGTGCAGGGATCGAGAAGAGGGAAGCCCTACTACCTGAAGGACCGCGCTTGCAAGACAACCTGGTGAACTGCACTGCGTCGGGGACGATTGGTGATACTTGCTCGATTACACGTAGTGTGCGGACCTGCAGACCATCAGTGGATGACGCTTTGCCCCTCCCTACCTTGCACGTCCATCGGACCGGCTGCTCGAGGGGATATGGGATGCGTAGTTGGGTGTACGAGACAGGGCTCCCGTTCGGATCTATATTTTTAGGCCTGAGGCCGATCGAATGCACTATGGGGCCATACTGGAAGATCGCACAAAGGGATCGTACTAGAGAAGAACATGTTAGCACATGGGAGGAAGGGGCTCTTCACCGACTAGATAGCAGCTTGTCACGACACCGTCAAGGCCAACAGCCCGTCTAGCCCGGGGTCAAGTGTGCCTTTCGACTATTCACGTCAGCCCCAGCTCGATGTCAACACGCTAGTCGCCTACTGATACGATGTAGCCGCCGTGGTGCTCGCTTGCTGCCCAAGCTCAAAGGGGGGTATGAGGATGGATAGCCATGTCTCAGGTAGTAGAAGCGTGGGTGCGCTGTAGTGAGGGATACGTCGCCTGAGTTGCTCATGTTCTCGATCCAAGCCAGGCTAGCTGGAAGCTTCTGCATCTCGGCTGTGAGCTGGCGAAGATTGATGAGAGTGAGGCACCAAAGCGGGTCGTCATCGTCCCGCAAACGAGTTCGAGAGACGCACGCACGCATCAACCGACGTCGCAGCCACTCGGAACCGACGTGCGAGCATGCAGGTTGCCCGAACAAGACGTCCGTCATGACTCGGCTCCGGCACGGAGCGCCATTACCTCATTGCTAGAAGCAACGTCGGGAAGTGTGAAGGACAATTGCACGTTACAGGATGCGAGAGACTCGCAAACCTGATCATGGCAGCGGCGGGGGCGAGTCCCGGATCGGGGCTGAAGTAAGGGGCGTTCGCTTGACGCACGAAGTAGAACTGGGCGTTAGACTTCCTTGCGACTCCACCTTTGGTGTCAAATCTAGAAAACGAACCATGGCCCGACGGTCAACGATCGAGTCTCCTCGTGAAGAAACCAGTCAGGGCACATACCTCTTCAAGTACAGGAGACTGAAGACTGGGCCTATCCCTGAGTACTGCGCCCTTGTCCTTAGAGCGTACCCGGGAACGGTGACACTGCGCATGGGGCCCTTCGCGTCCGTGGCTTGGATCGTACCAGACATGCATGCGGTCGCAGGCTATCGATGACACGCAGACGTGGACAAAGAGTGCGAGCACCCATCCTCACGATGGCGAACGACACATCCCACGTCTGACATGAACTGCGCCCGAAACTCGGGCTAGCGGCGTCGAGTAACAGTTTGACCGTGCCATCCGAGCATCGCCTCCACCTTGCATTCAAGGTCGGCGATGACGCAGCTCAAACGAAGAATGCTCCCTCAGTGTGTGACGGTGCTCGAATTTGGCCCGATGTTTATCCGATGGTTGCATGTCGCCAAATGCTCGGGACCGCGGTGAGACGCAGTCTCCGACCCGAGAGCAGCACTCGGGACCGAGAAGCGGGTCCTGCGGGGGTTGGTTAGCAACCGATCAAGCAGCGATCAGGGAAGACATATAGGGGCACCCACAAACTCGTCCAATCGTCACAGGCGCTTGAGATCTCCGACATAGATTGCGGCGAAACTACCTGATAGCGGGACAAATCCAAGATCGAATGAGCGCATCGAGATACATATACTTTTTCGAGAGCTCATCCGCCCGTCCACCAGATAGATCCCTTGCGTGGTTGCAGCTCGTGTTGATCAGCACCAAGTTCAGGAAGCACGACATAGGGCCACTCACCCGGTGCCCGAACGCATTATTATAATACGAGCCTTTCACCCATGAAGCATGAGTGAAGGTCTGTCCGGCAAAGCATGGCATATGACACGGGGATGGATGTGAAGCGACTATGTACGATCGAAGTGGCCGAGCGACACGCTCGAAGTCTAGAACCCCTAGCAAACGCTTCAGCTGTCCCGATGTGAAGTGACGCACGTACTCGAAACCGGGTCGCTTCCCCCTGGAACTGAAGTCCCTCGGACGTGTACAGCCACCCTCCCTCTCGAATCTGAAGGGCTTCCAACCTGAACTAAGATGTTTCGGACAATGCCACATCACCGGTCTTCTAGAGCCACGTTTGGATACGGCAGGAGCTTACCGCTGTTCCTAGTTGTTACCAGCGAAAACGGTGAGGATAGCGACAAGCGTCGCCGTACCTATAGAGTACTTTCTGAGCGGTGGGGGGTGTCGCGATGGGCTGTGGGTTGGTTGTGGCTTTCCCGGATCCTAGACATGACACGATGGCGCTCACCAGGGGAGGGCGCGGGGAGGGCGCGGGGAGGGCGTGATCGATACACGCGCCCGCTAGCTTCCTACTAGACTCAAGTTTGACCCCTACGCACGACGGGTGTCCAATCCCTGTACAACTCGGTTGCGTCGGGCAGTACACTTGTGACTGGACGCTTTCAAAGCGCCCCGCAACCACTCTCATATATGCGCGACCAGGTCCATTCTTGGCAGCATCTCTCACCGTGGACTAATATGCTGAGAGCTTCTCCCTCGCGGGGCGTCTCGGTGACCTGACGGCGCTTGTAGAGTGGCCAGAGCCGTGGAAAGAAGCAGGGCTCGTGGGCAGTGCTTCGTCGAGAGCTTATTTCGGTCGGGCCGATGACCAAGCGCGCCGACGCTATGGGCTATGCCTGATGAGCATACAGCCAATACGTACGGGAGGGACCAGCGCGCGAGGAGTACCGCGAGCTCCTGAGCGTGCACGAGGCCGGACATCGCAATGCCGTGTGATAGAGTTCGGAATCATGAGCATCGGGCCACACACCTGTGCCTTCGTGATAGGATTGCAGCTGCAGCGCACGACGAAGGAGCTACGGTCGGGATCGAGGATGTGCGGAAGATGCCCTGTATCATCTGAGCTTGGAAAGTGGACGGTTCGTGTTGGCGATCTGTCAACATGTACATACGGCGACGTCTATCCGGATTCCGGATACATGTCCCTCGTTAGTAACGTGGCAGGAACCCTGACGACTCACGAGAAGCTGACTGACAGTTGACAGTTATCGCGAGACTGCGGGAGACGCGGATTGCAGATCGTTCACAAGGGCGTGTCAAAGGACGGAGCGCCGCCCTCGGACATAATCAATATGGTTCACGCTAGCTAGAGTTGGACAGGGTAGCACGTACCGGCACTTCACGCCTTATCCGGCCACAGTCCCCTGTGTCACTTGTCCCGTCCCCCTTGGCGTCTCCGATCTTCTGTCGCCGGAACGCAAGTAGGAGTGAAGAAAGGCAGGTGGATAGAGTGCGTACCAACAACGCGACCCTGGCAACAAATGGCCATCTTTTGACGTTGCAGGGAAGGATTGGTGCGCTCCCCCTAACTTCAGACTGACTAGCGTACTGCGCCGGGCGCAATTATGTGATGTGGCCTTTTCGCCGGGAGCGTTGTGTATAGCGCTGAGGACCTTATACCGCATAGCGACATTATTGGCCGCTCCAGATCACAGCGAGATACATGAGTCCGGCGTGAGATTGGATTGGCGTTGGTGCCGTTAGGAACCTCCGGTGATATCTTGGCCGTTGCTCCGGAGTGCCCTGAGCGCGTTCGTAGCTTGCGCTCGCCTCGGGCGCGCAGGAGGACTGGCGTTAGTCTGAGACGAGAACAAGGACGCGAGAACGGGGGCAGTGTCCATGGCGAGAGGAGACCAACAAAAGCATTAATGCGTCCATGATATCATAGCACGAATGGGGAACACGAGGAGCAGTGTTGCGTCGTGTTCGGCGTCCACCGTTTAAGGACAGGACGTAGATCGCAAAGGGGGACCGGGCTGTGAGGAGCTGCGAACGAAATCAGGCGAGGCTGAGTGGTCGGAGAGATCAAAGTTGAGAGACGCTGGATTTCACCACGGACTCTGATTCGCTAGGACCGGTTCCACCGGGGCGGCTATTCTTAGCGAAACTGCTTCCGCCCAACTCTGAGCCTTCCCCGCAAAACGGTGCCTGCCTATCGCTGTTTATTCTGGCACTCCATGGCCACGCGCATCCTACACTATCGGCAACGTCTCGCGCGAATGCCTCCGTGGTCTGGACAGGGGCTTCACTTTGAGAGCACTGGCACGGCGGTCGCGCGCGCGAATTGTGATCTGGGACGCCTCGCGTCTGACATTGCGTCAACATCCCAGACGCGGCGAAGGTTCGAAACGCCTGCTTTCCATGTGCTCTCTTGCTCGCCCAGGTCCCGAGCGGGGAAGAGAAGCGAATCTAGAGCCCAAATCGCTACGGTGGCAGGTTCGGTATCGCTTGGGTGTCAACTCAAGATCTGACCCATGATCTGTCCGCTGCCTTGGATCGCGCGAGGGCGAGGGCGAGGGCGAGTACTGGTGCTCGTCCTGGCCTCAGTTTCGCGAGGCACCGCCATCCGCCCGTATCATCCCCCGACTCCCTCCCGGGCCCGGCTCTCGCATGTGCGGTACTTAAGCTCCCCTTCTCTCGCCCGGCCTTGTTCAACACCTGCCCCCCCCCCCACCTCGTCTTGCGCCGCTCCTCGTTCGCCACTTCACCTTCGTCAGTAGCAGCAGTAGGCATCGCCGTCTCCGCCTCTCGCCCTGGTTCTCTTTCCTTCCGTTTTCTCCGCTGCCACATCAGCGCACCCGATCAGACTTTGACTTTGCCGACTCGCGCCATCATGTCCTCGATTTTCGGTTCGAACCAAACGCATCTCCCCCCCAGTCCCCCTGGCCTGCCCATCCTCGGACATCTCACCAAGATCCCCTCCACCGAGCAGTGGAAGTACTTCCTCAAAATATCCGACGAGCTCCGTGAGTCTCCAGATCTTGCTTTGCACGCCAGTGGGATCGGAAGGGTTTGTGGGCGCCGCTCAGTAACAGTGGGCACCGCGCGCTCCGTGAGATGCGGACGCGCCGCTCCTCGCGGGTCGTTGCTCGTGCGGCGCGAGTTTGGCGTAATCCAGCCCGATGAGTGGCTGCATGTCAAGTCGCTTCTGCGGGGTTGCATGTGGAATGCAGGGTCTTATGCAAGGAAGGTTGAAGTGCATCGTCGACGAGGGGGATTGATCATTCGTATCTCGTGTTGATGCGTACGCATCGCGGGCCGTGCTAGCCTTCTGCAAGATAACGAAGGCGAGGCGGTTCAGTACACACACACAATGACAGTTAATCTAGCGGACTTGCAGATCTCACGCTTCGTGCGCAGCGCCCACGCGATGAGTGCTGGGAGGAGCTGCGAGGCCGGCCCTGCTGCGATCTGTGGATCTGCTCTCCACCGTCATACTCAATTGAGACCCCCTTCCAATTTGGACACGCGTGCTGCGTTTGGACGCGTTCCTTGTTGCTGACCGACGGTCGATTTACAGGCTGCAAGCTCACGACATACAAGGTCCTCAACCAGACGATCATCGTGCTCAACTCGAAGGAGTCCATCGAGGCGCTGTTCACGAAGAAGCAGGATGTGTACGCGAGCAAGCCCCCGCGCAAGATGTCGGATATCTCGGACCTGACGATGACCCTGCCGTTCATGGACCCTGGAGAGGTGTTCACGAACGCGCGCAAACAGTTCCACCAGGGGATCGGACAGGCCGAGGTCGGGACGTACAATACCGATTACGAGGTCGCGTCACGGAGCCTCATCAAGACACTGTCCGGGAACCTGGAATGCAAAAACCTGACGGAGACGATCGACGAGTGAGTCTCACACTGTCTCTTCGTGGATGCCGTAAACTGACTGGGGACATGCAGCTCTCTCGGCCACGTCTTCCTCAAGGTCTCAACAGGGTACAACGGCCCGGAGACCGACTCTGTGCTCAAGCAGATGAACGATCTCGCGCACTTTGCTGCCGACGTTCTCGGTGACAAATACCAGATCTTCGACATTCTCCCATTCCGTACGCCATCCTCCACGCCACGTCGACATGTCTCCATCTGACCAATTTCGCGTTTGTTTAGTGGCGTCGGTACCGAAGTCGGTGCCTGTCATCGGCCCAAAAATCAAGCTCGGCAAGCAGTGGAAGAACAACCTCCACTCGATAGCTGCGACGACAGTGCGCTTGACGCAGGAGAGCCAAAAGCAGGAGACGGTGTCCGTGATGTCGAACGTGTACAAAGCGCAGGGCGCCGCGGCGGACGGCGACGAGCAGTCGAAGATGATCGCAGTGACGATGAACGCAGGTACGTCCATCTAGCTCTACGCGTCTATTACGGCCCGGTGCTGATCTATCTATCATTCCAGGCGGCATGCTCGCGGTATGTCTGACATCGTCCCCGAATAGTGGCGCTCTCGATATTGATTGACACTCCCCCGGAATGCAGTCCGAATCGGCCACTCTCACCTTCCTGCTCGCCATGGCGCAGCACCCTGATGTACAGAAGCGCGCACAGGCGCAGGTCGACTCCGTGTGCGGGGACAGGCTGCCGACGATGGCCGACCGGCCACATCTGCCATACGTCGACGCGGTGCTTTCGGAGGTTCTGCGGTGGGTGTCCATCGCGCCCGTCAGTACGTCCATCTCTCTACCCATCGACGGCTGGAGACGCTGAGCTGATGATGGTGTCCGCAGTTGCGCGGGAGGTGACCGAGGACGACCACTACGACGGCTTCCTCATCCCCAAGGGCGCGACGATCATGGCGAACAACTACGCGATCTCGCGGGACGCGGAGGTCTTCCCCGACCCCGAGTCCTTCGTCCCCGCGCGCTTCCTCGACGAGTCCGGCCAGAAGCTCCGCCAGGACGTCCTGCACCCGATGGAGTTCGCGTTTGGGTTCGGGCGGCGGACGTGCCCGGGGCGCTACCTCGCGGACGCGCTGCTGTTCAGCCACTTTGCGCATATCCTGAAGGTGTTCGACGTGGCGCTCCCGTCGGAGAGCGAGAAGGCGAAGAGGGCGGCGGACGCGGAGCTGAAGGTGAAGAGCAATGGCGCTGCGTGGTGCGTACTGTGTCACGTTGTGTGCGATGGGGTCAGATGCTGACGATGAGATGTGATGGGAATAGTCGGCTGGAGTCCGTCTATGTCACGCTCGCTCCGCGGTCTGCAGAGGCCACGGTGCTCATCAACCAAAATGCCCCATCGACAAATGGGCAGGCGGACGGCCATGCTAATGGTCACGCACACTGATTGGCAGCCCCTTATTTATGATCCGACGACTGCAGCATGTCCTCACGTCTCTACGTCCGCTCCACGCCTGGAACTCCTACGATCCCCAGCTCGCATAGCATATTCGCGATCACAATGCACTTCACGGTGCTAATCTCTCTTCAGCTAAGATGTCCTGAATCACGGTATCTCTCCCACCACCTCTGCATCCCAATTGTTGCGCTTATGTTACCTTAGTCACGACCAATCATACCATAAGAGTATCCTTGTCGGGGTTACTCCCCGTCAAATCGCATGTTTTTCAGTCCCGACTCCCAATGATTTATTTCTTCCCCGAAGCGTATGTACCCTGGGCTTGTCGAGTCGTGTAAGAAACTTCAATAGAGGTGAGCCAGTCACGACCCGCGGTCACATGACTTTGTTGTGCCGTGCTGCCCACGCTTGGGACTTTTTACGCGATCTGCTGCTCTGCGATGTCGCTCTCAGCTCCCAGTTCTCAGTTCTTGACCTGACGTTGCGTTTCTCCTCGCTTTAGGACTGCCCTTCTATGGTGTTAGGATCACGTCGTATCATCGTGGCTTGTCTCTCCTAAGTCCTATTGGCCTGGCATGACCTCAGCCCTTCCGCTCGAATTCCCAAATCGGATCTGGTCCGTGTCGTTCTGAGTCTTGGGCAGGTACACTGCTTGGTGTGCGATCCTCCTAGTCTGATGGCCCTTGGCTGTACCGCACATGTTTGATTCCTCTTCTCCTCATCTCTTCCTCTTCGTCGCGACACGAATCCGGAAGCGTTCCGCGACTGCCCCTCCTTGGCGTAGAAATTGGTGTCGCAGCGTTCCGCACGCGATATCTCTTTATCACCTTTTACTTGGTGCTACTCCTAACAGCTACTGGCTGACCTCCTGTCTCTATCAATACCTGTTCTCAGGAAGTGTCTCTGCTTCGCGCTCCCTGCAGGCACGTCCCGTCTGCTTGTCGTTGGTGAGTTGCACATCCTGCGGCTCGTGTTGTGCTCTTTGTTCCACGAACCATGCATGCGTAGCAGAAGCACCGCGCTCAGGCTCAGCCCATGTCGAGGTTGGGTGTACTGCTTGAGTACCGCCATTCTCCATGAGCTCGTCTGGAGGCGGTCCTTGATACTCACAGACCGGATGATGTCCCGAAAAGCCTGAGAGGACCGTGCATTTTTGGTTGCGTAGCTATATAGCTCCACGGCCCTTCCGGGGGCGGTTCAGACGGTCCTCTGGGGACGGGAAGGGAAACGTCTATACTCTGGTGTCTCTATGCTCACAAACCGACCCGTTGCCCTCCCACATGCTGAGACTCTGCCACAAATATGCCCGATCATGCACCACAGGACCGTGCCAAGCCCCTCCATGTCTTCCGTCTTGCTTCTCACATTTGTCTCCTATGCAGCAAAACGGTATGCCATTAGCATCGCAGGACATGTACACAGACGTGAAGCTAACGTTGTCTTCGCCATGCTTACCACCTATGCCTCAAGACGTTACCTCTGCGCACCAGAGCCTGTCATTCCCGCACGCGAATACTCTCCAGCTTCCGCATGTAGGCATGTGGCCTCCGGCTCACGCACGCGGAGAGGTCGACGAAGAGGGCAAGGCCGACCGCAAGTGACTCGATTTCAACGCGCCCACGAGCGTACAAGACGGCACCGTTAAATCGCTCGCGCACTCCGCGGACGAAAACAACATGGCGAGCGGGGAGGAGGGCACGACCATGGTCATCTAGGACGCGCGCAAGAACACCGTGCGGCACAAGATGCTCATTTATCCCGACGCTGGCCACATGGACACGATTTCCGCCCTCGCCTTCTCACGCGATGACATCTCCTTCGCGTCGGCGTCGCACGACGAGGTCGTCATCATCTGGGCCGTTGCGAGTAGCAGAAAGCAGATGAGAATCCGGCCTGGGCACGCTATCCACTCGCTCGCATATACGCCCGACGGGCGCGGTTCCTAAACGCAGGCGCTAGCGACGAAACGCTACACCTATGGGACGCGCAGACATACAAGCCGATCCGAACGCTCAGAAAGACCTTCGCCGCGGTGAAGTTCATCCTCTTCTCGCTCGACGGCAGTCTCATGGCGACTGGCAGCACAGAGGGTGTGTACGACGTCTGGGAGACTGCGAAGCTCGAGGCCAGGAAGCCGCTCAGCGTGCTTCGTGGACACCACGGCGCGATCTGCGCCGCTGCGTTTCCGCCCGACCACTGGCGCATCATCACTGCGTCCGACGATGGCAGTAGTCGCATATGGAACGCAGAGACGGGTGAGGCGCTCGTTATTCTGCACGAGTACACCGGCCCAATCTGGACGGTCACGTTTTCGTCTGACGACAAGCACATCGCGTCCCGGTCGAGTGATACGACAGAGAAGGTTTGCAACTCGTACGCCAGAGGAGAACAGGCCTCGCTTAACAGGCATGACAGCATGCTCAACGCGGTCGAGTTTTCGCCCCACGGCAAGTTCATCGCTTCCGCCGGATCCGACAACACTGTACGCCAGTGGAAAGCAAGTGATAGGTTGAAGTACACGGCGTACAGTGAGCACAAAGTCAACGCCAACGCGGCGTCGGGTGAGTATTCGATAAATTGCATGCATACGTACTGGGGCTCTACCATCCTGGCATCACGGTTGTACTGATTAGGCCCTACTTCTTTTATGAGTTGCGACCTTGGATGCATCTCGCGACCGGTATGAATGCATACGAGCGTAGGGTATGCATCCATCGGGTCGTAGAGCACCTAGTAAGGATATAACAATCGGTATAGTTGCTCAGCGCTCACTGGCGAATTTAGGTCCGTGCCTTCCTGCCAGAAACTGAAGCAGAGTCGCCCATCCGGACGCGTTGGGGCTTATGCTGTGAATGGCCGCCGAAAGCAGATGGAGCAAGGTCGGAAGGGCTGGCCGTGGGTGACATGGAGGTCGTTGACGCTTACAGCGTTCTGCGGCGAGGACACTCGAGAGCCTGAGAACGGTGCCAGTGTAGATTGAAGTGACAACATGCTTGAGCTCATAAACAGTCTCACCTCTCAACGTACAGTTGTACGCTTCTTCTTCCTGTTCTCCCAAGTTCTGACCAAGCTATCGTCGGTCCAATCGCCCCTGGACAGAACAGGTAGGCGAGTTGAAAGCGGTAACGTACCAGTGGCCGCCAGTAAGCTGATTGTATTGACCGCCCGTGTGCGGAGGCTCAGAACATGCGCACATCGGGGGAAGGGCCTCTCGTTGACCGTTACATGCGCATGCTGGGGTCGACTAGTGCGGTTTGGAAGAAGATTATCTTAGAGACAAGCGCTGTGTCGCCTCGCTGTCACAACTCCCGCTGTGGAGAATTATAAAGAGGGCCCGCCGTGGTTCGAACACGATCTGCAATCGTATGCTCTACCACTGAGCTATAAACCCACTTTGCAAATTGTTCTCTTACTCATCCCGCCATTGCGTCCGGTAGAGTCTACGAGCAAGGACGTTCCGATTTATATTCCCCGCGGGGCTTGTGCGAAGGTACAACGGCTGATACCGCAAAGCCAAAGGGCAGAAGGCGAGGGCGTGAGCAGGCGCAGCAGCAAGCGAAGCACGGAGGGAGCAATGTCCGGATGGCGGTACCGCGGCATGCGTGCGGCAAATAAAGTACCCAGGGCGTTGCTCTGCGCGAGATCGGTCCACGAAGCAACGTCGAGGGCAGGGAGACGGGCATGAACTGGCGGCATGAGAAGATCATGCCGGAATGCTGACGGACAGAGGTCATTCAGCGTGGACAAAGTGACATAGAGCACAGACGGAGCTGAGATGTTGGGAGGCAGCGTCCAACCCAGGCGCCGTGGCCCGATACCGGCCAGAGCGGGAAGACGCCGGTCCATGACGCGCACCACCGGGCGCCAACACCGCCCTGTTACGTAATCATTCAGCGCAATGGGTCGCCCTTTCTACCGCTTTCTCTCCCTCCTCCACCTCCCCGTCCCCTCCTCCGTCCCCGCAGCCTCCCTCTTACACACACACGACTCGCAGCACTCCAGGACACGCCTCGCAGACTACCATTCCTCGAGACACCCTCTCCACACGTTCCATGTCTGCTCAAAACCCCGTGCGTTGTGTCCGACACGCTGCTGCGCAACCGTAGTGTCTCACCTCTTGTTTGTTCACAGATCAGGAGAAAGCTCGTCATTGTCGGCGACGGTGAGTACAGTGCTACTCATCCCGTTGACTCCGACCCATGTCTTTTGTCTCTAGGTGCCTGCGGCAAAACATCATTGCTTTGCTCGTTCGCGCTTGGTGAATTCCCCAAGGAATACGTATGTGGTCGTGCTTCTTCAGTATTGCTTGTTATGCTGATTGGTGCCTCTGTACTTGCAGCAACCAAGTCAGTGCCTTACGCTTCATCGTTTGAACCGCTTTGATGTCTGACATGCCTTTCAGCCATCTTCGAGAACTATGTCGCCGAGATCCGGTTAGACGGCAAGGCCGTTCAGCTAGCACTATGGGATACTGCGTGAGTCCTTTCCTCCCCGTCACTACCCTTCGATCGCGGACACCCGTGCCACTCCGATTCTCGCTGTTCCCCGCCGAGGCCTTGTGCGTCCCGCGTCCCGTGCGCTTCCGCCACCAAACTGCAAATGGTGAGCTTCGTGCCTCCGGCAGACTTGTCGCGTCCACCTTCCCTGTCAGCCGTCGAGCAGAGAGGAGCCGGATATGCCTGACAGATGCCCAGTCCTGACGCCCATCAATGCTGCACTGGAGCGGCATGCGTAGATTGTCGCGTCCGCTTCCATTCGGACGTCGACCCACGGAGGTTTAATAAGTGGCCTTTCACCGGTCTTCCCAGCGCCATCGATCGAGCGCACTTCAGGGACGTGAGCTGCTCGTCAAGTAAGGTTTATGTCTCGATGCCTGTCTTCGGTGAGCTTCTTCCCCGACAGCATGGCTTAGACACTTCTTGAAGGCGGCAGTTACGCTGTCCAGTAAGGCCTCCGCATTTGTGTGCGGGCGTCCGTAGTCAGCTGTCCGTTCTTCGTTACGTCCCGACGGTGGCCTTGCAGCGCCCCTTGAATAACTCCTGTTCGGATGCGCGGGTACCTCGGAGGGTGCACGGTGTCGCGCGATGTTCGGAAGACGCTGTCAGATATGCTTACGCCTCCTTCAATCTCCACAGAGGTCAGGAGGAGTACGAGCGACTGCGGCCAATGTCTTACTCGAAATCACACGTTATCCTCATCGCGTTCGCCATCGACACTCCCGACTCCCTCGACAACGTCACTGTAAAGGTGCGTTTTTTGGTCCGAGCTATAGATCGCGCGCATGCGTCCGGTACGGAGCTGATTTGGTTCTGTGTGCACGAGCAGTGGATAGAGGAGGTTCGTTCGATCTGCGGTCCGACGATCCCCGTTATTCTGGTAGGATGCAAGTCGGACCTGCGACCGCCCCCTGGTATGTGCTTCTGCCTTCCTTCAGACCATCTAGAACTAGGGATCACTGACCGTCCATTGTTCACCCGTTGACAGGTTCCCCAAACTACTCGGCGTACGTATCACGAGAGCAGGCGGAGCGCGTAGCCCAGGCAATCGGCGCGCGGGCGTACAAGGAGTGTTCCGCGCTCAAGATTGAGGGCGTTGACGACGTCTTCGAAGCGGCGACGCGAGCGAGCATGCTCATGCGTGAGGGTGTCCCTGCACATGCGAGCGGGCACCAGCACAATCGGCTGGGCGGAAGCATGGGTCATCGGAGGAACTCGAGCGGAGAGGGCTGGGAGGACAAAGGCCGGTGTTGCGTGATCTGCTAGTCGCTGATCGCTACATGCCCGAGGCGAGATGGTTGCGGGCGACTTCGCTACCTACCTGGCCACCGTCCCCAGCCACCGACAGCCACGCTAACCCAATAACTTCAAGCCTCTAATATCGCCCTTATTATGACTCACTGTCGCTCGTCCCTCGCCCGCATCACACACACTCGTGTATACTTCGCATGCTCCTTGCTCGCTCTCCCATCTGCACACTGCAACCCATTGCTACCGCCCCTCCCCCCGCGGCGCCCATCCCCGCTACGTTTCGCACCCCTTCACCATCACCATCAACACGGCGGCCTGCGTAGTGTCACATCCTCACTTCATCCTACCCTAACCCGACTCATCCACGCTGAACGCACACACGCTCCTTAATGATATCGTCCCTGCTTCGATTACACGGTCGGACATTGACTTGGAATGGACTATTGCTTTCAACCTCACTCTCCTCCTTCCTATCTCACCCTGTCCCTGTTCTCCCATGCGTCCGTCGACCCGTCCTCACTCCGCTCTGACCTCTCTCGACCTCGCCCGTCACCCCCTTGTTCCGGCGTATACATACAGGCTCATCTGACATACCGATAGGATGATATGCATGCACCCTGATACGCTCGCGGAGGTGTGATGTGTGGAGTAGGTGCTATCGCGGATTCAGTACCATCTTGGTGGTGTGTGGTTTTTTGCTTATCTGGTGAGCGCGTGAGCGTCCGCTGTCATTCGCGCGTCATGATTCCGTGAGCTGAGAACGCTCTCTAGTCTACATATACCGTCGGTGTCCTGATTGTGCGCTCCACAGAGCTGCGTACCTGAGCACGGAAGGCTCGTCAGTATGCAGGAACGTGCTGCTTCTCATCGAGCTTAGGCCAAGAGGCGTAAGTGCTTCCCTGCGTCGAGCTTCGTTTGCACGTGTCGGGGCTGGCTTCGAGCTTCTTGCTTCTGGCTTCCGTTCTTTGCACTGCGCTTGCTCCACCATCGGGAGACGGAGCGCCTCCGTTGAATGATCGTGCATGCCTCGAGGGCCTGGCTGTGGGCTGGGAGGGGCGACTTGCCCAGATAAGCTACGTTGGGTGTCCGAGACTCGGGAACATGGGGTACGGTGCGTTTGCTGCCGGCGGATGGGGGGCTAGACGTGTGGAGCAGCAGGGCACGTGTACGTTTGGAGAGCGGCTCCGATTAATGGGGACTGGATTCGGTGGTACGTGCCTTCGGAACGAGACGGAGGACGGGTCTTTGTGCGCCGTCTTGGAGGTTTACGGGCATCGTCCTTGTCGTGTTGGTACATGAACCCAGATTTCTTGATCGAAGACACGCGCGTAGGACACCGCGGTGGATTACAGCCAGGCGCTCCATTTACGAAGCAAAAGAGTTCTACACATTGTGAGCAAGTCCCGTAATGTTATTTCAAAGCAGAGTCATTCCTTGGTGAGGTATATTACATATGCATCAATCCAAGCCCACGTTGAAATCCTGTTAATAGCAGAACACAGCATCGTAGCAGCAAGAGAACATGAGAAGATCAACCAACAGTAGGCATATGGAGCGGTCGAATGCGCACAGTCCCGTCGTGCGAGCCAGAAGCAAGCGTCGAGCTATCCGGAGAGAATGTGACGGCCGTCACATTGTCGCTGTGCTCGTTGTACGTCGCAACAGCAGACCCGTCCTCCGCCTTCCACAGCCGTACCGTGTTGTCCGACGCCGCTGACGCGATGTATCTCCCGTCAGGAGAGAACTCGACGACGTTGATCATGCTGTCGTGCCCATCCAGCGATAGCTGCCGATCCCCGCTGTACGAGTCGCACACCTTCACCGTAGAGTCGCTCGACCCGGACGCCACCCGCTTCCCGTCGGGAGAGAACGCGACTGTCCACACGGGGCCGCTATGCTCGTGGAGGATGACAAGGGCTTCTCCCGTCTCGGTCTTCCAAATGCGACTGCTGCCGTCGTCGGACGCGGTTACGATGCGCTCCCCGTCGGGTGCGAACGCCGCAGAGCACACCATGCCCTTGTGACCACGTAGCACCGACTTGGGCTCGAGACTCGTCATATCCCAGACGTAGCATTCGCTCTCTGTCCCACCCGTCGCCGTGTAGCGACCGTCGGAAGAGAACACGACGAATGTGACTACTGCGACGTGCTTGCTCAGTTTGACTGGGTCCTCGTATGTCTCGGTGTTCCACACGAAGAGGGACCCATCGTACGCGCCCGCGACGAGCTTGGAGCCGTCCGGCGAGAATGCGAGGGAGTGGACGGCAATGTGCGGCTCGAGCCTCCTGATCTCCTGCCCGCTCGTGACATTCCAGAGGATGATGTTCTGGTCGTTTGAGCCAGAGGCGAGCACCTCGTTGTCGTGAGAGAAGGCGAGAGCCGAGACGGTGTCCTGGTGCGGCGTGAGCTTGTACATCATGTGATCGCCGCGTACGTCCCAGATGATGACCGTCGCGTCTTCGGAGCCACTTGCGGCGTACCTGCCGTTGGGGGAATATGCGAGTGCAGTGATGGACCCATCGTGGACACTGGCCTGAGCACCTGCGATGATGCGCTTCTGTCCGTCCTTGTCTTCCTCATTCTCGTCGTTTTCTGCATCCTGTACATCGTCACCGGTTTCTGTGTACATGGCGGCGAGAACGAGGACATGATTTCAATCCCGAGACACTCTCGAAAGCGAGCGAACGAGCTTACGTTCTGCATCGGAAGGGTTGGGTATTCTTTGATCGACAACGTACTCGGCAGACTGGTTGAGTTGCTCCGTATTCTCCTGTGTAGTATCATCCACGGCTCGAGGACCCAAGTCAAGCTGCACCGCAACGGTCCCGACTGCTAGGCGGTTAGAAAGATGAAGTAGTGGAATGAACACGACACACCTCCATCCTCGTCCACATCCACTGTGGGCTTCAATTCTTTCAGAGCGCCGGCTATATCTAACGGGAAATCCTTGTCCTGGACTCGGAGGGTTTTCATTAGAGACAGATAGATGGAGGAGACGGGGCCAAGTACCTTGAACAGTGCGTAGATATCTAGATCCGATGCGATTGAGACAGAAGCATCAGAATTCTGTAGTAGAGAATATCATGAGAGAAACGTCCATGTATAAAGCGACGCAGGGCCCACCTCAAGAATGTAGTTCAATAAGTCGTTCACTGGATTCCAGGTCTGTCGAATGGTATAGCGTCAACAAGAAACGAAGACTGATAGTGGAGAGCCCCTACACCACCCGTCTTCGACGCCTGTTCAAACTCGTCTTCATCCGCTCCCTCAACTCCCTCATCGGCTCTTACAACCACATCCGCTCCATCTGGCCCAGGGGGTGGAAGCTTATCTGAACCTGCTGCAGCCTTGATCGCATTAAGAAACCACAGTCTCCGCTTCATCTGATAGTAGTGGATGAAGAGACATTGGTCGTTCAGCTCCTCCATCTGAACTAGGGTCCGTTCACTGTCATCGGCTTTGACCAGCGGGACAGATGCAGGTGCGGCAAGGCTTCTGGATGGCCCGATCTTGCGATGCGTCTGAGGCAACGTATTATCTGCGATGCTCACGGTCATGTTCAGACCCGCGACTGAGCTGAGATTGGCCGTCACAGAGCCCATCTTCTTCTTGCAATTACCCTGCAGCGCCGCCACCGCCCACCGAGCTGTCTTCGTCGTTCCGCACACAAACATGATATCCTGCTCCTTGAGGTCGAGCCCGTACTTCTCGTTCGCATACTCCATCCAGTGCGCGAAGTTCAGTCTCATGTAGTTGATGATGTGGCGTCTGGACTTGATCTCGGTCGTGATGGCGGCGGGCGAGAACATGAGGAATGCACCGTTGTTGTCCTCACACGTAAAGGAAAAGCTGGCTCCTGCCGATGCCGTTGCTATGGGACTACTAGCAGACGTTTCGTCAATCGCCGGGTCCCTTGGGAAGGTAGGCGAGCGAGAATGACACGTACATGTTAGCCTGCCCAGATCCCGAAGCATCAACCGTCTTCACAGTCTGGCTGCAGAGTGGAGGTATCGCAAGAGATTTCATGGGGCCTCGTACGATAAGATTTGGAGGGTTGAATGGCGTAAAGTCGTTCGGTACGTCTTTGCGTAATTGATCTTCCTCCAACTTGATCCTCGAATTGAAAAGCTGGAGGAACGATCCGTTATCCAGCCAACCCACGTCTCCAAGGGAGACCTCCCTAGCAGAAGGGTCGGGTTCTGGGAGCCAGAGTGGATAACCGAACCCTTGAGGGAACAGCTGATTCGCGTATACGTTCCATGGGGGTTGAGCCATAGCTTGAGCTCGTGTTTGTGACGCAGGACGAGGAGCGTAGGATGGATAAAGGGACGCGTCGAGGTCACCAGCAGATGTATATCCAGTATCTCAGACAAGGACAGAGCCTATGAGGTAGCACAAGGACGGGAACTTGAAGCTGTGACCTGCAGAAACCTAATATCGAGAAGCGTGCATAGCCTCGTTGCGCGTGCACGAGGCAGTTAGAGCGCCATAGTATCAGTACACACTCACCTACCATACCACTTGTCTCGACCATCTAATGATGCGTGCCCGAGAAGGTATAAAAGGACATGATTATGGTACTGAGGAGCGTACAAGGCAACAACACGATTACAACGAGACTCACATATTTGCCACCCGCAAGCGGTTCGCTCACTTAGCTCATCCACAAGCAGTCCTGAGGGGAAATCGAACAAAAGCAAGATTGACACATGCTTATGCGCAAACCTGTACCAGTAGTCAAGGCAGTCATTGATGAGTAATTGAAGGGCGGGCGAAGGTCAAGCCAAGTCCGGACGTGATCTTAGCGCCTTGAAAGTTGAAAGGAAAAACTTTTCGCATCTCGCGTCTCACGGCGGCTGGGCACTATGGGTCCATTCGCTCTACATAGCATTCATGAATTCTGGGGGACACGCAAACGACTACAGGCACATCATAGCATCTATGCGTCGCACGACCTTCAGCAAAATCTGCACGTATGTTTGATACGACGTCGACATCAGAAGGCCCCAGGGGCCGGGTCAGGGCCCCTCCGGATTGACTTCCCGAGCCGACATCGCCTCCGCTGCCCCTCAAGCTCGCCCCGAGTATGACATCACGATACCGACGCACCCCCTGGCAAGTTTAATTGTGGTGTGCTGAAGAAGTTCGAGGGCAAGCGGGCACGAATGGGATTCGCGTTTGGCCGGTGCAAACGCGTGCCGTACGTAGTACATACAATAGACATTATATACACAGTAAAATAGGGGTAGATAAGAGCGCGGGTATCCGTCGGGGGGCGGGACCTGTGGCGCTCGTTCCGCGAGCTCGCCATCTTGACGCCAGGATTCCAACATACAGTGATCACCTTCCTAACCCATACCCTGGTAGCCCATAAACTCCGAAACCCATAGGATTTTGGCTTTCCCAAGTCGGGATAGGGGGAAATCGACCCCATAACCCATAGGCCTCCCTCAAAAGGGTTGGTAGACGCCTTTTCGGCGCTCGCTAATTGAGACTTATCAGAGCGCCTATTAGGCGCTAAAGTTCTGGTAGCCCATAACCCCTTAAAACCCATATATTTGGGCCTGTCCCGGGGTTAAGAGGGTGTCGACTGTAAGCGAGTTCTTGAAACACGTATGTAGCTTATCACTAAGACGCCCCAAATAGCGCGTGCGTTCGGATACACAACCTTTACGCCGCCCTGACGGAGAACAGGTGCGACACCAGGCCACTGCGACTGCAAGAGCACACGCAAGCCCACCTGCCAACAGAGGTGACTGATGCTACATTTTCTCTCTGCATATCAAATCACTAGAATTATAAGTTCCCAATCTTCATTCCTCGTTGTTGGCCACAACTTGCATGCAACGCGCCACGGATGACCAACACCCTCCTTAGCAACCGCGGCTTGCGGGTCTGTCTGCGCCGCTCGCCAAGCGAGAAAAAAACCCTCATATGCTCGCGCCGACCGTGATACGTACGGAGGCGAGGGTTTTAGGATCTGGACTATTGACCCTTGTTTGGTGGTTTGCCTTGGCGGCATATATACGGTGCGTCTTCGCTGGTGTGGGCCATCATTCATCCGATTTCCCGATTCCCCCAACGGCAGGTACGCCACAATTGGCTCGAAAGACACGACATCTATCATCCGGGACGTACGTGACGACCACATGTTGCATCAATTCGAACCGTACGATGACAACGTCTCGGCTCTCGCCTTCTCTCACGACAACGAGGTGCTCGCCTCTGGCTCAAACGACCAGAACATCATCCTCTGGAATGTCACGAGCGGGCAGGAAATCAGGAGGCTCGAGCCGCATGTCGCCGTCCACTCCCTCGCATTCTCTCCGGACGGCTCCAAGCTCGTCGCGGGCGCGTACGACGGGTCCCTCTTCGTGTGGAACACTGCGACATACGAGGACCCAGTCAAACTGAGCAGGCACGTTGCAGCCGTCACATTCGCCGTGTTCTCTCCCGACGGTCGCTACATGGCGACGGGTGGGCTAGAGAGCGAATGCTACATTTGGGACATGGCGCGTCTCAAGCTCAAGTTGGTGCTGCGTGGTCACAAGGGCATGGTGTGCTCTGCGGCGTTTGCATCCATCACGGGCACAGCGGCCTCGTGTGGACAGTCGCGTGCTCCCCAGACGGGAAGAGCGTAGCGTCCTTGTCGAGCGACTCTACATTTAAGGTGTACGACTTGTACAGCGTGGATCCGAAGCTGTCGCTGGACGGACACGACAGCATGATCGGTGTGGTCGAGTTCTCTCCCGATGGGAATTACATCGCGTCTGCGGCGTTGGACAGTACGATGTGGCTGTGGAAGGCGGAGGACGGGTCTGCATTGACGACGTACAAGGATCACAGCAACAATGTGACAGTCGTGGTGTTCTCTCCTGACAGTTCGACGCTCGCGTCTGGCTCGCATGACGGGACTGTTTGCATTCAGCCGCTCCATATGCCTACTGCTGGGTGATATTCTTGGTTGTGACGTGGTAGTGGTTTCATACTAATGTACCCGCCTCGACTGGATGTCAGTGGATGCCAACACCACGGGCTTGCATACAATATATCGTAAAGTACTCCTCAAACTATGTTCTTCTCTACAGCTCACGAAACACCGTCTCAGCATCAAACGCATCGACAATTTTCTGGATACTGCGACCGCCTGTGCCACGCGCTCTAATTTCTCCCGTGATCAAGGCAAAGACTGCTGACTTCACGCGGCATGCATAGTCCTGGTCGACAGTGAGTCGGGACAAGGGTCTACTCCCTCATTCATTCATCGCCCTCACGGTACAGACAGGCCCTCTGATGGCCACGAGGCAACTCACATCCGGTCCCTACAATGAGATAAGATGAAAGGGCCCCAAAGCGCGTCGTACACGACGTAGCTGGCTTGATCAACATATGATTCAAAACCTTGAACCAAGTTTAAGGAGTCAAATAACTTGACCCAATGCCATCCCAAGCACGACTCCAACAACCGCCACAGAAATCCACCACACCCAGTCCCCCTCCCCATCTGTCCGGCTCGCATGCGGCACGGGAAGCAAAAAGAACCTCGCCATCGTCCCGACTGTGCCAACGGTGAAGTCGAGGTCCTGTCCCAACGCATGCCGCCTCATCATGTAATTGTGCCAGTTCACGTTCGCCGTCGCGCCCACCACCCTCGGCATCTTCGCAGGTATGTACGACCACACGAGCAGGCAGACGTACCACAGCGCGCGCTCGAGCCCGCGCCAGCTCAGGTATGAGGAGGGCGGGTCGCCTAGCTCGCTCAGCGCCCAGGGCTCGGAGCGCAGGAAATCAGCGTCTTTCCTGGAGAGTGCGGCGGACAGTTCGGTGGGGAGATGTGGGTGGATGACGGAGAGTCGGCCTATGCCGAGCAGTTGCGCGTGGTCGCGAGCGAGAGCGGAGGACATTCGTGGGAGAGTGTTGAGGCCGCCTGTCAGGAGGACGAGCGGAGGTGGGCGGGAGGTCGCTGTTGGGATGCAGCTGGAGAGGATTTCGATGCTACGTTCGGCGAAGGATTCATAGACGACTTGGCGTGCGGACTTGTACTCTAGCGCCACATCAATGAACTCTATGTAATCTGCCATCAGCTCATCTTCGGGCCTGAAAGAAGGAAGGAGTACATACGCGGGTCCTCGTAGTCGCCACCGCTAACCTGAATAGTGTCCACAAGGCCCCATTTGCCAATCTCGCGAACGTGTTCGAGCGCTCGGTTTTCTTGAAGCTCGCAAGTGTCTCGCGCGTAGTCCGCTGCGTTGAGTTTCACGCCGACGATGAAATCGTCAGGCACTACACCCGGAGCGCGGATTGCTTCAACGATTTCTCGGAGGAAGCGAAGCGGGTCGCGATCTGCAGAGTACTCGTCTGTCCGGCGGTTCGTCTGCTCGTTATGTTAGGAGCAAGTGCATGGCGATGCTACACGACAACCGGGTGCGTACCTTGGGCGATATGAATTCGCTGATCAAGTCTTCAGAGAAATCGTCAGCACGCTTTCATCGTGAGACATATACATGAAATGAACTCACATCCATGCGCAGCGTGCAGCTCGATACCGTCGAATCCACTCTGCGCCGCCAGCTGTGCCCCGAGCACGAACTGCCCAATCGTACGCTGAATGTCCTCATGTGTCATCTCCTTCGGGACCTGCAGGAACAACCAATGGGCCAAGCGCGATAGCCAGCCATCTTGTCCTTTGTGCATCTGGCCGACTCGAATCGGGCTGGGGGCGAGCGGGGGCGCGAACAGCCGTCGACCTCCGTAGAAATTGAGCGACTGTCTTCCTCCATGGGATAGCTGCATGATTGCGAGTGGGCGACTGTCCTCATCCTTCCCTCCCAATCCTATTCGTGAGGATGAGGCGGCGGGAGCCCCGAAGTGGATAGTATTCGCAAGTTCGCGCCATGGTGCGAGTGTCTCTTCGCTAAGGGCGTCGGGAACGACAAGATCGCGGCCAAGCGGAAGATGGTCTTTCGCGACTTGGATATTGCCGGTCATGATCATGCCCCAGCCTCCTGCAGCCCACTTTTGGTAGAGCGCGATGAAGCTTTCATGGGGACCAGAGCCCCAGAGAGGCGCGAAGTGCTCATACATTGGAGCCTGCGATGAAGTCGGATGATGTCAGTGGGGCTGAACGGATAGCTAACCCGTTGACGAAAAACATAGCGAACATTGAAAAGATATCCGAAGCCATTCTAGCGTGTGCGCAGGTCTGCGCGCTCGCGTGATGCCCTCGTTGGCGGACCAGAACCCTTCGCACTCCGCCATGCCGTCATGTCGAGCGGAACTCGCATAGCCCAGTGAGCTGTACTGGGTATTCGAGCACGAGTAACACGGGCGGCATTGCATGCAGTAGCTGTAAATGAAGACCGCGCGTAGATGCCCGTCCTATCATCTAGAGTATTCCATGCTGGGGGGCGGATGTCTGGGTGTGTTCACTATGAGCCTATTTCTGAAAGATAGTCAACGACGCAGAAACAGTCATCGTAACTTGCGATGCGCAGTGAGAGATTACGTGAGGGGCAAACAAGCACGGCATGGTGGCATGAGGTGTGAACAACAGTACCCTGAAATTTACCTTGACAAGCCGATTCGGTACAACCCGTCCACACGGAAGCGTAATTGGAGTCAAGATCTTCTCCGCATCAACCAGTAGTTGAGCATCAGCATAATTGCCTGCTTTATTTGAGCTCGCTCACCCAACATACAGAAGCCGCATGAAGAGAGACGTACTGTCTGTATACGGCGCCATGACGGGCAGAAGGGCAAGCAGGACGGAGATATCTGAGTTGGGCCAGGCTGATACAATCTCTACGACGTCCGAGCGAGGTCAGAAGTTTACGCTATCAATGCAATGCAGGGCATGCTGTTGGGCGTGGGCAAGGAGGACATGACCGCTTCCGACACGCAGTGGATCGTTACAGACCGCTTTCTTCTTTTATGTAACATAATGTTTGGGGCCGATTAATGATCCTTATACGCTCCGATGACCATCCACATATCTGAGTTTACTCGACTACTGTCTCGGTTTAGTCGCCGCTACGACTCCTATGCCGCAAGCGCCTCGTGCGGCGGGCCTCGCGTCTACATCGCGTTCGTCCTCGTCCTCGCCCTCGTCCCCACTGTGCACCATCCAACATGAAGCTCGTAAGGTACGCATCCCTCTTCCAGATATGGCACATGCATGCTCTGCGGAAACTTGCCGGTGTATGTACGGCGTCTGATATCCTGAGGACGAATATTGACCAGCATCGCGTGCATAGATTTTTGATGAAGCTCAACAACGAGACGGTCACCGTTGAGCTCAAGAATGGCTCCGTCATCCATGGCACGATTACAGGTGTGCTATCCGTACTTGCTCCTGGAGATGCCATGGAACTCAATGTGACATTCCACAGGTGTGGACATGCAGATGAACACCCATCTCAAGACCGTGAAAATGACCGCGCGCAATCGCGAGCCCACTTCTCTTGATAGTCTCTCCATCCGCGGCAACAACATTCGCTATTTTGTCCTACCCGACGCGCTTCCCCTCGACACCCTTCTCGTCGACGATGCTCCCAAACCGAAGAATCGGAAGAAAGACGAGGCGCGCGGCCGCGGACGTGGGCGTGGGGATCGCGGTAGGGGTCGTGGGCGCGGGCGTGGACGAGGCAGAGGATTCTAAGATACTGTCACTACACCGAGGTGGCGTGTCGTCTTGCTCTACCATGACATGCGACCGCGTTGGAGGTTCTGGGCGGGGTCGGTCCTGTCGGCTGCAGTCCAGCTGGCGAGCCTCCTGTCCGGTGTATTATACGCAAAACGGGTTCTGTACATTGTTGTCCATCCCATACGAGTTACTGTCACTCTTGCAATTGTAAAGTCTCTGAAATGCTGCCAGCCTTTGCTTCGGGAGCTGGGGATATATCTGCACAGATTCTGTGGGTGTGTGGGACGGGCGCTCGGACTCGGCATTTGGTGCTAGCGCCTTGCGGGTACTGCTCCTTGTGCTCTGACTTCTACCTGCTTGTGCTGGTTGCCATCGTTGAGGTCGTGTCTTGCAACGCCTAGCTGCTATCTAGGCTCCTTCAGTCCCAAAGACTGTCTATCGTGGCTCAGAACATCGGTTGTCAAGACAAATCCTACATGTCGTCTCAACGTCGACATACGGACTGCTGAACGACGACTTACGTCCATCCCGCTCCTCTGTCTTACCGAATCGTCATGGACATGAGCGTACGTTCGTCATTGACTCGGCTCTGAACCTATTGTTCAGTTAGGGTCATTCCGCCAGTGTCCTCCTACCACCTACTGTGCGAAAGAAGTCTAGGGTTCTAGGAAGCATGTTCACACCGTGCGCCGACCTCTTGGCCCCGCGTTCCCTCTCCTACAGCAAACTCACCGTCCAATGTGCTCTTAGTTACCCTCCGGATGCTTTGTGGAATCGTACGTTCGACGTCATTTCCGTTTTCGTCTCGAACCATGTACCCATTCCTTTTGCAGTATCTCTCGAGCTCATCCTGGCTCTACCGGTAACGCCGGAGGGATACAACTTTCGACCTTGAGAGAGGCCGCTTTCATCTACCTCGCCGGCTGTTGGAGGCGCGACTATCACGTCTCAGTTCACTCACCTTCGTTCATGACCTCTGGACCACCTTCGGAATGCCGTCAACCGCGTCATACGAGCAAACTCTATTTGCGCAGTCCATCGTGCGCACGCCAGTGGCCGCCGCTCTCTCGGTCTGCCAAGGTGGACTTCGGAGTTGAAGCCTCGAAGCTCGCATTCTGAACAGTGGCCGATGCTGTGAGTTTCCACGGTCGACTGAATGCCCTCAGCTCTCCATGCGAGGTCGAAGACGTAGCTCTTAGGGTCGAAGTCCATGCAGGAAGCACCCCCTGTTGCAATTCGTGCTTTCTCATCTTGGCTCGCGTGCGCAGCAGGGGATGAATTCTTGCAGACAACCGGACTTCGCCAGGTCTGCGGTTGGAGGCAAGCCTCTTAGACTCGAGGCTGGTCAGGAGACTCCTCGGTTGCCTGCTCGTTGGCCAACCTCTGGGGTGCGGAGTCCGAAGTGGTCGCGACCAGGACAACATATGACAGGTCCCCTCGCCGGTGTTACCGATAACCCGACAAGGCCGTGAGGTTGGCCGCTGGGCGTTGAGTATCGAGGACACAATCGGCAACCGGGGCGCGCCACAACGGCGATGGTGCGTGTCATCAGAACCCGTTTCTAAACGCTGTAGAGGCGACGTTGCTACTTGCGACAGGGATCTGGAGAGGTCGGTGTCCTGAAGCCACTCGCGTGTGACCGTCTTCGCGATCTCTTAGGCTCGGAGTGTTTGTCGAACTCCGACGGGGTGCTAGCAAAGGCCGGGTGTGAGCTTTCCGTTTTCTCGGGTGTGTTGCGCTCGGCCGCCCCCGTGGAAGGTCTGGGCACTCGGCCACGTCGACAGACGAAGATACATGCTCTCTGGCACCGGAGAAATACCATGATATCGCTCGCACGTTACTCACCGAGTGGAATGACATACGCGCAGCTGAGAAAGCCTGAAATTGGTTAGACTCAGCGAGTCATTGAGATTTGAACGCCGAATTGCTTCGCCCCGGGTCTTGAACAATTGCGAAGGAGCGCTGGAGAGGTGCTCCTCAAACCACGTGAGAGCAGTGGCGTCGGAGGAACCTTCGAGGCTGAAGTTCAGTATGGGAAATGTCAGAACATCCGCTCCCACATGACATCCGTGCTGATAGACGAATCGTCTTTCTGTCTTCTCCTAGCGCGGACAGGCACAGCTAACGGCAGCTCTGGGAAGGGTGCGGCACCGAATACCTGAATATTACATATTTAGCGTACTGCTGGCAGTGTACCTTCGGTTTGCTCTATCATCGCTCTGAGAGCACCTATGACGCCGACAGCACTGGTGGAAGGCAAATGCCTCGTGGCATAAGCTTGGGAGACCGTAGAAGAGGTTGTCTCCTTGGTGACTCCTATGTGAACTCCTTCCGCAGTTGAACTGCGACAGCTCTATCATGCACGCGACGATCTCCGACATCGCCATCCGCTGACGCGGTATGTTCCTGGGTCCCGGCGATAACGGTAACGACATAGCAAATCTTCTGTGGAATGACAACAAACATACACTGCGCGCGCTCACAGCTACACGGATGAGCGAGGTGCAACTCGTCATGACAATGGGTCATATAGATCTCGATTGCCAGGCGGTCATGACGATTATTGCGTATCTCAGCGCAGAGTCGAAGACAAGACGCTCACCTCTGGTTCGCACTGCAGATATTCAAACGCTCAGACCAGAATGTTCCCAGTATCCGCGGCTTCTACGCGACGGCCTCAGTTGTTGTGTATTCTGGAGCCTGTTTCACCGTCTGTTCGGGTCCCCATAAAAGTGGTGATGGACTTCTGCCGAACGTACAGAGCCCTCGCACTGCCAATGTTCCGTTTACCTACACATCTCGAGTCCCTCGTACCGCCTCCGAGGGAACAAGTTCCCCAGACGCAGCCCTGGAGAGGGAGGATCTTCACCCCGGCGGCTTTCCCAGACCCGACCGCCCAACCGTGCGAGATCCGAGTCACTGCCGCCGAAACGGAGTACGATAAGTAGGCTTTTTCTCGGACCATATTTACGTCGAGCAATGAATACTCACCTGCGCGTTCCGCTGCACAAGTAGCCAGCAGGAACTATGGCCAGAGCACTTCCAGCTGCAGGTCATCAGACGGCGTGGCGTCTTGAGCGAGTTGCACGGCTGGCTCACGCGGCTACACCAGAACCCATACCCGCGCTGCATGCTCATGCCTGACCGCCTCGCCGATCACACTGCAACTCGGAGGAATCACGCGCTATTTGAAGAATTTGCCCGCACGCTTCTTGACGAGGAGATCGTGAGTTCCCGGCTCATGTTTGTGCGCTTGAATTAGACTAACAGACTGTGTTCTTTCCTTCTCGGTAGGTCGCGATCGCCCCCTGGGGCTATTCCGACTCGTTGCAGCATGGCGGGATCCTACTTTATCCTACAGCCAGCACCCGTTCCCTTCTCGTTGGGATAGTCTTCTTGAACACTGGCTTCCCAGACTTCGTCCAAGGCTCGAGCCCGCATCCAATGGTAGCGGGTCCGTCTCGCGGCGGAGTGCCTCTTAGCTTGCCGCAGGGTAACCTGCTCCCTCGGACCCATCCCTTCCAACCTGTCATGCACCATTCACCTTTCGATCCCGCCCCGCCGAACATCGCCTCATCCTCGCGATACTCCTCCACAAGTGGCTATGACGGAACGCGGTCGGGTCGCAGCAGCGGTTGAAACCTGCAAACGGCTGCTATGGGCGCACATTAAACGAATTTCCCCCCTTCCGTTCCCGTTTCATTTGCAATCTCTATGAAACCCTATGATCGTTTCTTTTTTGTAGACTCGGTCGACATTCGTGTCCCCCATTGATCGGTGTAGTCCCTTCTTTTCTCCGCTCTTCCCCCGTTGTATCGATAAGCGCCTCCCGAGTCTGCCCCCAGGACTTTGACCCCCGCGCTCGACATTCCAAGACGGACTTCTCACTTCGAACGCTATTGACTTGAATCTCTTGTATCGTTAGCGCATATCTTCATCCTTAGCGGTTTTTCGTCAACTTTGTTGTACTTATGACCAACGACAATCTCGACGCCACACGGACGGTAGTCAGGTTGTGGCTGGCTTATGCTAACGATTCTACCGGACACTCTGAAATGTTTCATAAGTGTACTACAGAAGAGCAGGTCGACTATGCCAGATTGAATCGTCTATACAATGCGAGGTTATGAGACTACATCTCGAGGCAATGATGATAGAAAGCACGAGAAAAGCATCATGAGCGACTAACAGAAAGAGGTCAATACGGAAAAGAAAGGCAGAGCATATTGAAGCTGTTGAAAGCGATCAGTCAATGATGGAATTGAGGGGGACATCAGTCTACTGTAGGCCAAAATTGAACAGTGCTCGCTGGACGCTCTCCAGCCGCTTCTTCTTCGCTGTGAGTTCATCGCGGGTGCTGACGATTGTGGGGTCTTCAGCAATATACGAGCTGCAGCGTCTCGCAGCGTCAACAGTTCCGAGCCCGAGGCGCTCGAACAGCAGTCGCTGCACTTCCACGGAGAACGCGTATAGGAAATGGTGGTCGATGGACAGAGGTATGTAATCGATTACGCGCTATCCATGAATGGAGTAAGCGAGTCTGAGAGAATAGGGCACTTCGGATGCACGCACCTTGTAAGCGACTTGGAAATATGCTCGCACTTCAGCCATCACTTGCAACTCCTCTTCGTAGATATCGGGCGGGTTCAGCTTCCCCAGGTCAACCTCCCCAAGCCCATGATATCCGAGCTTCGTCAGATTTGCGAGGGTTTCCCGGATCAGCGTTTGCTTCTCGTTCCCGTCCATAGATGGCGCCGCAGGGCGTGTAGTCGCCGCCGGTAGGAAGCTGAAGGTGTGCGCAGCTTTAGAAGACTTCATCCCCGCTTGGGTGACCGGCTGGGCCTCATCCTCATCCTCATCTTCATCGTCACTCGAAGAGTCAGAAGAAGACGAGCTGTCCTTCTGAGGCTGCACCTGCTGTTTAGCTTGACGTGCTTTAGGCGTAGCAGCCTTCTTTGTCGGATTGTTATTCGCCTTAACTGTCTTAGTCTCCTTCTCTCCGGTCTTTGATGCAGTGCTAGCTGCTGGCAACGCATTCGACGGCGATTGTGAGTTGAGATACATAGGTAGATTGCGATACGCACCGAAAGTGAAAGGAACGGGATGGGCAGGAGCGGATGGAGCGGGATTGACACGCTCTGCCGCGCTCTCACCGGCACGGGCATCCTTATACTTCGCGAGCCACTTGTCGCGACATTCACTCAAGTAATGATTGTTCTGAGTGAACGGCGACGTTTCTAGCTGTAAAACCGTCCGCATCTGTAACGCAGTGCGCTCGGCACACTGGCGAACTAGTTCAGACACTAAAGGTCTATCGTACATTGCTCAGGACGCAATTCAACTCAAAAAGGATATCCTGCTCACTTTACGATGGCCATGAGATTACCGTACCTCTCGAAGTATTTCTTGATTTGTTTCGATAAAGTATGCTGAAAGGCTTCTTGGACGGCATCGAAAGAGCTCGAGGCAGTGCTTTCCCACGACTGCTGGAAGGACTGTAAGAGGGACTCCTTTGCAGCGTATGGCACATTTCCGGGAAGCTCGCGAGTGATGGACCTATTGAGATAAAGACTGAGTATCACGACGACGCATGCACAAAACAGCGCTCACTTACGCGCTAATGTGTTCCCGAATGTCCTCCAAGTACATGATATTGCCAAAGGACTTCTTCCCAGCGCTGCGGTCCTGGGCGTCGACGCGCACATACTCAGAGATATCTCTAGGAGCATGTGTAGCGTCCTTGTAGGGTACGAAAGGCGGGGCGGATGAACGGATGGCGTGCTTGAAGGAACCATATATGCGACGAGTGCTCTGAACGAGTGCAGTGTTTGTGGGAGAACCACGGACGGACTGGGCCAACTCTGTTGAGAACTCAGTGACGAGCTCTACCACGTAAGCTGTCGGCTCAGTTGTGATTGCCGGAGGAAGTTTCGCGAGTTGAGCATTGCAACTTTCGAGTTGCGTCGCGACCTGATCGATCAGTACGGGCAAGCTATCCAAGCAAATACATTCAGCAATGGCTCAGGCGCGATCGATGAACCTGAGACGAACGATTCACGGATGATCTGGGTCAAAAGGCTGCTGATGTTTTGCACGAGGTACGTCGTCCCGAAACGATCGCGGTGTGTCGATTCACACCAGGGGGTGGTATTCTGGAAGAATGCAGACTCTGCCGCACGGGCTTCCGCGGTAGTGATACCCCTAGTACGCTCGTCGTCGTCTGGTTGGCGAGTGCAGTAGTAGCCGTGACGAAGAGGATGACGCCGTCCTTCCAATACTTCGAGCCACAAGCTCCGTGCTTTTGTTGCACCTGCAGTCAGCATGTCGGGCTTTGTCATGACTCCTATGTTGCGAGTGAGGAAGAATCATTCCATCGCACAACCCGTAGTATGTACCTATCGTTCGAAGACCTTGGGGATCCGCAAGCTTAGCCAGCCTAGCGGCCTTTTGATTCTCGATGTCATCTGCGAAAGAGAGGTATGAGTGATCCTAACGCGCATTGTCCAAGATGATGCATACCACTCATGGGTAATGTCACGAGAATCAGACTTGTGCCCTGTATATACGATGTAACGAGATCCTCGACTAGCTTGACAATCTCCGCATCAGCATTCTGAACAATGCCTGCGATGTGGTCGTGTCATTACTTTGGGTCATGAAGCCTTCGGGGATCCACTCACCAGGCAAATCAACGAAAGACAAGTCAACGAGGTCGGGACCGGCGAGCTCAACACACACAACGTTCCTGGAAAATAGAAGGGGCTTTCGCCCCGCTATCTTCGGAGCCCTCAACTTCTCGTCACTCATGTCCACAAAATCGTCCTTCAGAACGTGCGGATTGAGCACTGCGGCTTGCGCCCGACGTAGCATGGGCTCGACTTTAGCCTTATCCGTCAACAGGGCACCGAAGTCCACTTCGGACACCTCTTCGTATCTCTTGTCCTTTTCATCGTATTCCCAGCGAATCTTGATTTGGCAGGACCATTCGCTGGGAACATATGCCAACCGGCATTCCATGGGGCACCTAGTGCAAGTGCCGGCATCGCGAGGTACGCTGATCTGACCACCGGGAAGCAACGCGTGCGGAGTCAACCGGGCGACTCATGAAACACCGTAGCAGAGATAACTTCACTTACCCCTGAGATTGCTTCCACTAAGCTGGACTTCCCGGCACTCTGATTGCCAATAACGACGATGCGGGGAAGCTCGAGGTCAATATGTGCACTGTGAACGTTATTTGAGGGGTGGAACAAGGATGCTGGGTGATCTATCACACACCCTAGTGACCTAAGCTCACCCACGAACTCTATCAGCTCCTTCGAGCTCTTGCCGTAGTCGGTACTCAATAGTAGCGTGTGATTCGGGGTCGACGTCATAGTGCCTGTAAGAATCTGTAGATCAGACTTGTATGATCAGCAGTTTCCCAAACGCAAAGCCTCGAAAGTAAATGTTCGGTGAAGAGAGGGAAAAGGAGAAAGAGGAGGTAAGTGCCAGACGGTACTCAGAACTTCTTGGTTCAGATTCAACCAAGAATTGCTGCGTCTGGAGATTGGCAGCGCTGGCCTAAGCGATGAGGCGCGCGTCCAAGCGCCAGGTCCTCGCATAGACCAGATGGCGAGCATCTCCAAGAGATAACATCGGCTATCGTGCTCCTGCTCTTGATCTAAGCCTGCGTAGCTGATAGCGGCGGTCCCTCATTGTATCTGCTTCTCCTCGCCAACCGCTGGTCCGATCACCTTAAAACAACGTGTGTACAATACTCATGTACACAGCGAAGAAAATGTTTGGTCCAGGTTTTGGCGAAAGTGCGCACACTTTGATGAGAACACATCTTGAAAAAACTATACCAAAGACTTCAAGCCCCCGAAGCATACAAATGGATTAGTGTATTTCGTTATGCAGGCAATAGGGTATGGAACATGCTATTAGACAATCTATGGAGGCAACCAAGGACAGCGGACAACCTAAGCGCGCAAGCCGGAAGAAACAGTTTCCAAAAAAGGCATCTTGGTCGTCCAGCATGACTCCTACCACGATGGCTCTGACACACCGTTCTTCCGCTCAGAAAGCTCACTCTGCAAGTCAGATGTGAAGAATTAGTGACAGGCATCTAGCAAAGGAGAACTATCAGCCTTACCACATTCCTCCTCCCATCCGGACATATTCTTGGCTACCTCTTAGCTCCACATCTAACGCCCATCCTAACGCCCAGCAGCTCAAGACAAGCATAAGCAGCACAAAGCGGCGATAAAGTTTGACGTTCCCACCCGCAGCATGCGGCTATGCTTAGTAACGTAACGGAATGTCAGTAACCCTAATAGGCCTGCCATCCATCCTGCCCCAACTTACGGCCTGAAAGCACCTCAGAAAAGACAATTTGATGTTGTATCACTGAAGGACCATGTCGGGCTCATAAAATCAATCGCAATTGTGTCGCTTAGATGATAATGCAGCCTAGATAATCGGAATCAAACAAATCTCGATATAGCGGCGAGCGTCTCTATCACATGTCCTGAACATCGGCTAGCGGGCGCTGCCAATCTCCACTGCGTCACCAGTGTCGATTCTGGCGTCTGTTGATGATGGCGTCTAAGAATGTGTGCGGTCCCGATAATCTCGAACCCGGGAGCTTGCGGCAAGGGGGGCAGCGATGGCGCGTGATCCCACTCGAATTCTCCATGGTGTCACTGTAGGATGGCATCCGAACAAGGGAACGAAAGTCAAAGACAATAATGGAAGCTGTGACAAGTACGAAAACAACACCAATGTAACCATCACAGTATTGTGGCCCTGAAGTACGCACAAGCCTTTGTAAGTCTATCTATCCCGGATATGGCCAGTCAATGGTCATCCGAGCCCGATCCAAGCTTGCTGCTGTCCAGAGACCTGGCGACGGTGTAGATCGTCTCCATGTGAGTGTCACGGACGTTGGACAGACGCCCCTTTTTGCCGCCCATTCCCTTCCCTTTGACGCCCACCTTCCATTTCCGGACCGTTTCCTTTCCTAGCTCATCCCAGTTTGGACACTGTAGATACGTTCCCACAGCCGCATGCTACGTTCCCGTGATCACCATGCCCTTGCCTTTTCTTTCTCGCCCTTTGTTCCCCCTTTGTCATCTTCACTGCCTCGCTCTCGCGCCTTGTCCTTGGTTGCTAAGCAGCCCCTCCTAGTATATAAGGACCCCC